GAGTTTCTGGAAAAAATCACTGAATTTTTTGATAATGGCACTCCTGTAGACATTCTGTATCTTGATTTCAGCAAGGCTTTTGATAAAGTTCCGCACAGGAGATTATTGGCTAAGGTGGAAACACTCGGCATCAAAGGTGATTTATTAAAGTGGATAGATTCTTGGTTGACAGGCAGAAAACAGAGAACTGTCCTGAACGGGTGTTTCTCGGAATGGGCGAGTGTAGAAAGCGGCGTTCCCCAGGGATCAGTTTTGGGTCCCCTGCTGTTCATTATCTTCATAAACGATCTTGATGACTTTGTAGAGAATATAAACATAATGCTTAAGTTTGCAGATGATACTAAATTAGGTCATCGTTCGGATTCAATGGAAGATATCAACTGTCTGCAATTAGCCATAAACAAACTGATTGAATGGTCTGAAATTTGGTGCATGAAATTCAACATAGGAAAATGTAAGATTATGCATATTGGGAGGAATAACATCAAAAACGTCTACACTATGGCAGGTCAACCTCTACAGGTAGTAGACAATGAACGTGACATTGGTGTTATCATCAATGACAATCTGAAACCATCATTGCAATGTGCCCATGCGTCTAGAAGAGCATCAGCAGTTCTCACCCAAATCTCTAGAGCATTTATGTACAGGGACAAAAAGGTTTTTCTTCAATTGTATAAACAGTTCGTTAGATGTCACTTGGAATTTGCTATACCTGCATGGTCACCATGGCTAGTTGGTGACATAGAGGTTTTAGAGAGAGTTCAGAAAAGAGCTGTAAACATGATAGTTGGACTAAGGAGCAAAACATATGAAGACAAATTAATTGAACTTGGTCTTACAACCCTTGAGATCCGTAGGAAACGCTATGATTTAGTGCAAACCTTCAAGATTCTCAACGGTTTTGACAAGGTCAACCCGTCAATTTGGTTTCGTACTGTTGATAACCAGCACACTAGACTGACCAGAAATACTTCCTACAATAAGAACCTGATCGCAAGAAGATTTAAGACAGATATTAGACGGAATTTCTTTTCTGTCAGAGTGGTTTCACTTTGGAATAGTTTACCAATTGAAGTCAAGGAGTCCAGGAATGTCACCATTTTCAAGACTAAATTGGAGGAATTAGTCATTTAAACTATCTTTCTGTGCTTAAAGGAACTGTGTTACGAAGCATTGAGATGAATAACTTATCGGAAAGTCACGCAGTTTCCAGAGGACACCAAAGACGTTTGCACCATGGACCCAGAGGTCTCCTGCAAACCACCACACAAGTAAACAAGTAAGTAATCAATTAACCACTTCAGGGTTAGATCCAATAGTTGGGAACTAATGGATATTGTGGATATCTACATATATATTAATCAATTAATCCGTTTAGAATAGAAACAGGCGATACCCAGATATTTATCAATAAATCAATCAGTTTAGAGCTGGGAATACTTTTATCGAAATAAATGATTGATCTTGATCTTTTGATAATCTGCAGATCAATTGTACGCTGAAATAGTAACTGAAATGAAGAGATTACGAAATGATATTCAAATTAAAAGTGTCCACAGTTGATATAGAGATCAAGCAGTCGGGATTGTTAATATCCAACACAAAGTTCTCAGCTCAGGATGGATAGAGGAGATATCCAGATATCAATCAATTAATCCATTAAAAATGAATATCTTGTTATTAATCAATCACATAATGCATTAAGCATAAGATTCAGCCTCTGCTATTGATAGATACAGTGGATAATGAATATTTAGATATTGATTAATAACTTAATATACCAATCAATCAATCAACCAATCAATCGATCAATCAAACTGTTCAGGGTGCATCCATCAGTTGTAAACTGATGAAAACCCATCTACGTATTCTATTCACCTCTACTACAGCAGAACAAAGCTCAAAACTGGTCATCATTGAATCCAGTTCAGGAATCATCTACAAAAAATAATAATAAAAATATGCAAACAAATTTTTAAATCTAATTTTTCTGTAATCCCTAAAAGATGTTTGGTTTTCATATGCTTGTAAATATAAATATCATACTTTATAGTTTTAAATATTTTATGTGAAATCTACGAAATACTCGGGATTTGAAATTTTTAGCTCACCAGATCCGGACTCAGATCCAGTTTATTTTGTATTTTATGTATTCCTTTTATTGGATGAGATCTGAAGATGACATTTTAGTACCTGACAATCGGACATGTCAAGTTTGTGCCAGGAGGGATGATCAACATCAAGAGAACTAAAACAAATTATAAATGTAAAAAATATTAATTATAACTTAACAAGTTATCAAGCAGCTGCTGGACAATCCCTTGGCTTCTTGATTTGATTTGATTGTATAGGGCAATCTTACATAAGAATAAAAAAATGAAAATTTATTAATTAATTAATTAAATAAAAAAAAATTTAAAAATAATTTACCTAGGAAGCGCCGAAAAAAGAGCGGATAGTCCGGTGGCCAGAATCAAACAAAAATTTGATTGTGCTAAAATAATAATTTCCTAAACTTAACAATTGACAGGATAGTGTGTGGTATACTGTACAGCATACAGTATACCTGTACAGCGTACAGTATACCATAGGGTGGGTCGATTTCCCCCCTTTATGCTTAGGGTGTTTGCGGGATATAAATTGCAAGTTTCAAAGAAGTCATAAGTTAAACCAACAAAACAAATTCCTCAAAAATATCGATAAGAGTATTACAAGATCCGTCTTAAAACACTGAATTCAAAAAAGTTTATTTCATAGTGATTCCTTAATTTTTAAACCATTTAGAGACAGAAAACTGTGCAAAAGAGTAGATATTCCACTAGGGTAGGCCTAAGCTCGGTTCCAAAATAGACCCAACCTACTGTAAAATGTACATTGTACATTATTATTGTTATTATAATTCCTGTGGTAAGTTTCAAGAAGCTAAGAAAAATTGAAAAAGTTTCTAGGGATTCGAACTATTTGAAAAGTTGAGATTATATAAAAAGATTTTCTTAAAAAAATCTGACTAGTTGTTAAAAATACCTATTAAGTTTTCCACAATTTTATGTTTACAGCTCATTGATATATAAATTAGAACAGCTTCCCGTGCACGCTGACCAGACAATCCTAAACAAAACTTTAAACTGAAGGACCTACGCTCAAGTAATCCTATTTCTAAAGGATTAGATTATTAATTGACAATCCTTTAACCAAGAACCTACAGGAATATTTAAATCTAGTTGATTTTGGTGATTTTTCGTCGTCTATATATCATTAGTGAGAGTTCCGTCAATACTACTACTAATAATTTATCAAGCAAGTTAAAATTAATGGGATTGTTTAGTGGGTTTCGTATTGTCAGTATTGTAAATCAATCCGTCAATCAATCAATCAATCACTAAATATCTTAAAGTAAGTCTTCCAATGAATAAGTGACAAGTCTGACATATCCAATGTATTGCTAAAGAAGAGAATGTGTTGTTATCATATTTATTCATTATCTAAGTTTACAATATTTATTTTCTACCTGTTTTGTGCAGGTTTGGAGTTAGAAGCGAAAACAAAATTAGCCTCTGCTCAATCCATCAATTAATATTTAAATCAGCAAGTTACAAATGTTTCTATTTATCATCTTGATTTGTCGAACTATTAACGTAAAATATTTTTTTATTAATTCATGCATTTAGCCTTTAAATCTCAACTGTCAACACTTTGTATTTAGACCATCAAAAGAGCCTCAAAACGATATAATTACAATTTAAAAATGCGCAATGTTTATCAATATATATTATTTAATGCATATTAGTCAATTAATTCCTTAGATGTTGATGATGAAGATAGAAATAGTTCAATTAGTTCTGGGGACTCAATTAGAAGAGTAGATAGGTCGTAGATTAAATCTAAACAAACATCGTTTGAGTTTAAATGGATAAATTATTCAAGATTTATTTAAGAAAATAAAAAAGTTCTTAAATATGAAGAGAAGATAGATAGAATAGAATAAATATAAACTAAAATCTTTTGTTTTTTAATAAATAAATGAGTCGCCTTAAATAAAACAATCTTTGTAATTCTACTTATTAGCATTTTTACTTTTTAACGCGATACGTACTTAATAGTTTCGCCTCTATCTCATCAATTCCAAGATACGTACTTAATAGTTTCGCCTCTATCTCATCAATTCCAAGATACGTACTTAATAGTTTCGCCTCTATCTCATCAATTCCAAGATACGTACTTAATAGTTTTGCCTCTATCTCATCAATTCCAAGATACGTACTTAATAGTTTTGCCTCTATCTCATCAATTCCAAGATACGTACTTAATAGTTTCGCCTCTATCTCATCAATTCCAAGATACGTACTTAATAGTTTCGCCTTTATCTCATCAATTCCAAGATACGTACTTAATAGTTTCGCCTTTATCTCATCAATTCCAAGATACGTACTTAATAGTTTCGCCTCTATCTCATCAATTCCAAGATACGTACTTAATAGTTTCTCCTCTATCTCATCAATTCCAAGATACGTACTTAATAGTTTCGCCTCCATCTCATCAATTCCAAGATACGTACTTAATAGTTTCGCCTCTATCTCATCAATTCCAAGATACGTACTTAATAGTTTCGCCTCTATCTCATCAATTCCAAGATACGTACTTAATAGTTTCGCCTTTATCTCATCAATTCCAAGATACGTACTTAATAGTTTCGCCTCTATCTCATCAATTCCAAGAGCTTCGCACAGTTCCAGTATTGATATCAAAGGTCTAGAAACACACATATTAAAGTTTCATTAAAACATTGAAAATTATTTTTTAAGAATTACAAGAAAATAATCTTTAAATCATCTCAATCAATCAACATATTCAGTTTTTTTTTATTAAAAAAAATGATAAACCGTGAAACAATGTCTAAATATTAAATTAAACTGATAAACAAGACAGAAAACGCCCTTATAAATTTAAAGATTAATTATAAATATTGGAGGATTTTTAGTGATGTTACAGACAGACCTGAGTATTGTTTGATGGGAGAGTAAGCTGATCCCGCGTTCTTTATCCATAATCAGAATCTCGTATAAATCAATTTGTAAATTTATCAGGGAACCTGAAATGTTCAAATCAAAATTCAATTCGAAGACGACGCTTCAAATAAAAAAATCCAATATGACGGTGTACATTACAGTGTATGTTTTTTCTATATTAAACCACCCCCCCCCCTCGGCAAAAAATTGAACATGAACTGATGAGTTTTTCAACAGTTTTAGATAAAAATTGCCCAAAAATACACCATAAAATAATTTGTTTCTCCCAATTCAGAGAATAAAATATAATTATTTACAGTATACAGTATACACTCCTGTAAAGTAAATATGGCGGCCTGCTTTACTAACCTACAAGAGAGGAGGGAAGAGATTTAGTCCAAGCAGACAATTCTCCCAAAACATTTTCTAAAATAAAAAAATTATAGCGTAGAATATTTCAAAAACTATGGATCTTAAATCATAATCTGTCTTTATTCTAACGTCAACCAATTTTTTTGGTCCAGTCTTTTGATTAATAAAATAAAATATGGGAGTTGGTATTTTATTTTGGGAGGGGGCAATTTTCAATTGAATTTATTTATATTTTGATTTTTTCTTGTTCCGACTGAAAAATAAAACGTAACAAGGTTCACCTGAGAGAATATAGTCCAAGATAGAATTTGTCGAACACGTACCAGATTCATGCTTCAACAGTTCTATCATCTGAAAAATAATCTTATATCCGATCATAACTCACAAACCCCTTTACTAATTTGTTTGATTGATTGGGGAACTCGGAAGAACCACAGGAAATGTTTTTAGTTTGGTTTTAAAATTTTAAGTTGAGCAGTTTGACTTTTATAGGGAAACTCCAGACAAAGCTGCGTTCCCAAGACGGTTCTTAATGAAGTTTGAAATTAAATTATATTTTTAATGAAATTTGAAATTAAATAATATCTTTAGTGAAATTCGAAATTAAATGATATCTTTAATGAAGTTTGAAATTAAATAATATTTTTCATGAGGTTTGAAATTAAATGATATTTTTAATGAAGTTTGAAATTAAATGATATTTTTAATGAGGTTTCAAATTAAATGATATTTTTAATGAAGTTTGAGAATCAAATGATATTTATCAAGTCTTACCTGTTCTAATTGTGCTGAAACGTTGATCACATCGTCTTGAACCTTATTCATTATAAATAATAATACACTGATCGCAAAAATATTCATTCTCAAATGACCAAAATGATTCTTCAACCAACCAACCAACCAACCAACCAACCAACCAACCAACCAACCAACCAACCAACCAACCAACCAATCAATTAGTCGACCAATCAGTAAGAATTGTCAAGCGATTGGCCAATCAAACTAACAATATAATCGACCATAAAATGAAACAAATTAATTTTCCAAAATATCAACCATAAAATCGACCACCGAATCCTAGCATTTCGATCATTTTTCAATAATTTACCTGGGTTGAATCAGATTCAAAGTTTATAAAAGTTTGATGACAAGAATCCCAGTGATGAAGGAAGGTTTGAAGAAAAATACTAGAATCTGTGTTCTAAACATTAAAATAGGGTAAAGCACTAAAAATAAGAAGAAAAAATTTAAATAAATTTTTACCTCATTTTGGTCTGGTTCTTTATCCGTTCCTCCATACGACTTCAACTAAATAAAGAATTAAATATAAATGATAATAATTTATTGAAAGATAAAATCAAAATCATATATAATGTCATTATTGTACCATAAGAATTGTTATTATATAAACCTTTATTGGTTCTGAGCGATTAAAAAAAATTTACAGTAAAAAAATCCACGGTTTCGCATACAGTATATTATTTATATATCAGACAGTGTATAAATGTGATGAAAGAATACACAAATTTTTAAATTTTTAACTTTTTAAACTCGGTAATAAGTGAAAAAAAACAGCAAAAACATTTAAGGACATTTAAACCAAATTTAATGATCAGCGTAAGCTCACAATGAGGAAAATTGTAAGCGAGGTAATTTAAATTTCTGAGCTCTGGAGATAAAATGGCATGGATTAACTTACCTTATTGAAACTCCTTCGCAATTTCTGATCTAAAATAAATAAATAAATAAACTTCAAATATACATTAAGATATCTAAGTAGCAAGTACATAAATCAATATTACAACGTACATAAATCAATATTACAAAGTACATAAATCAAGATTACAACGAACATAAATCAAGATTACAACGTACATAAATCAATATTACAAAGTACATAAATCAAGATTACAACGTACATAAATCAATATTACAACGTAATGAATCAAGATTACAACGTACATAAATCAAGATTACATCTAAAAATTTTTAAACCTCAGAACCTATCCAGGAAAATATTTGACCCAATTTTTTTTTAAAATGTTAAAAATTATCTTTTTGTTAGGAACAGGCAAATTAAAAATATTTTTAAAATTAAATATCAGTAAGTGAAAAAATTAAATAACTTTTACCTATTCCTAGGACACTCATGCTGACAACTAGTCATTAACCACGTGAACTACAAATTTTCGAAGTAGTTTTTAAATTAGAAGCATGAATGTTTTAGAAACTATGGCTGAAGACTGAAAATTCAACCCATGTACCCTAACCCTGAAATAATACACTATAAATATTTATTTGTTGAAAATAGCTGAATTCTAGGTCATGTATAAAATAGATCGAAGGGGGGTGGGCAGGGAGGGGCCGTGGGTCCAGAAGTCTTATCCTAGGACGGACCCAAAGTAAAATCTTCACTTGAAACAATAACAACGTTATAAACTGTATTTAATGCTTAGCACTAACATTTTCATAATTATGTTCTTAACAGGGAATAACTACTTTTCTGAAATGTCACTAAAATGATCAAATTAAGAAATTAGAAGTTTATCGTTCAATGACTCACTATTGTAAACTAGACTATTCCAGTACAGTTAAAATCGCTCTGAGTTATCTGAGAATGTTGTGTTTACTATATATGCGGACACAATTCGCCTCAAGCCATCTAGGCCAGGCATACAGAAACTGTCCAATACTCCATATTTAGAATTTCATCAACAATCTGTGTACGCAACAAACACACACCCACACTCGCACACAAGTGTGTGCAAATTCAGGGACCAGGATTAAAAAAATGTAATAAATTTGCAGTTAATTATAGAAATTATGAAAACGTTTTATTTAAGGAACACATTTAAAAAAAAAGTATTTTAAAACTTGAACATACCCCTGAATCTGGAATTAAACAAAGACGATTTAAATACTAAAAATGTATTGCGGCATTCACATGCTGCTGCACATTTAGGAGATCAACATTCAGCAAAACAAATACCAAGGACACTATAGTAGTTTGTTTTCACAAAATCTCAGCAAGTATTTAGATCAACATGGAGAGTGAACACACCAACGAAACTGATTTCAACTACGGATACAGCTCCAGGGTTCAACCGGCGACGGTAATTCTTTTGTTTCTAAAGAAACTGCAATTTAAATAATGTTACGCAATTTTTCGCGCGGGATATAAGGATAAGTGGGGGGGGGGGGGTCTCACCTACTTTAACAATTCATGTCAGAATAAATACATTTAAGACGCCTGCCTAAAGTGCGTATAGAAATAAACGTTTATCAATCAATCAATCAGTCAGAATAAATAATAAGCAGGTCTGAACTATGGGGTTTGTATGCATTTGCAGGGTTGTAGCACTGTTAGTATATATTAAATTGTAAGGACTATTCACTAGAATTGCATAAATAACATTTGGCCCTTTAGCCCTAAAACTTTATGGATGTTAAAGGTAATTTCCTAGAGAATGATTTTTGGATCCCCGTCCTATCAATTTTGTACATGGAACTCGTGTGTAACACCTTAATATAATTGAGTCATGTGGCCTCAGCGCCCGGCCCCTAGCCTATGCTAGCTGCGGCGCTCGACCCCCTAGTCATTTCCTAGCCGAAGCGCTCGGCCAAGAAATTGTCTTATCCTAACCTAACCCTGAAATAATAAAAAATAAATAACAATAATTTAGATGAAAAATAAGTGTCATGTTCAAAATTGATAGGGGGGGGGGGGAGGCGAGGGTCCAAAAATCGTCCTCCAGGAAATTACCTTTAACATCAGTAAGGTTTTTAGAGCATAAGGGCTTAATATTATTTAAGCAAACCTCAGGAAGCAATTCTAGTAAATAGTCCTGTCACTTTAATATATGCTAACAATGCTACAACCCTACAATTTCATACAAACCCCATAGTTCAGACCTGCATATTATTTATTCTGACAAGAATTGTTAAAGTAGGCTGTATATCTGTTACTTCTCATGAATATTACAATACATTTATCGGTTAAGGTTACACAAAACCTAACAACCTAAGAAGAATAACAAGAAATCCAATAAGGATTCTATCGGACTACTCGGACTTTTGCAAACTATAAAAGGAACACAGGGATAAGCCCCTTATGGGCAAACAAGGACAGAGGGACTTCGATCAGAAAGACTTTTATTAATTATGAACAAATTAAAGTACTGTCAGAAACTATTTACTACTTAGGGACTATATAGACCTACGATTAAGGGACTATTTAGTGGATAAATATGACTAGTGGACGAATTACAAAAAAAACTGATTTAGACTGCAATAGGGGACTTTATATCAGTGCCTAGAATCCGGATACGGATCCGTTGAATCAGCAAGATTTTGACTTCCTGGAACCGGATCCAAGGGGCAAAATATCAATCAAGAACTGAAATTTTTTCTATATTGTTTTACATAAAAATAAGCGAATATAATAAGACACAAAAATTGGAAATTCTAAATTAGGAAATTCTGCTTTGTTAAAAAATTCAATAAATTTTAAAGAAAACCTGGATCCGGATCCATTTTTTCCATTGCGGATCCAGGATCCGGTTCCGCATCAAAATTAAGCGGATCCTAAGTACTGCTTTTTATACAAAGTGAATATGACTAAGCCAGGGACTGACAGACACTAAGAAATACATGAAAAGACACAAGAAGAACAGAAATTTGTTAGTGCTTCGAGCACATGTTTAATTAATTTACTCATGTCGTACAATCAAAGCTATATAAAGGATTATCTTTTTTTAAACACAAGAAAAAGCCATGATTATAATAAGATTTTGGTTTATTATTGAGCAAAGAGCCAACCCTTCAACGATTAAAAAATGCCGTTTTTTTTACTTCAAATCCTGAAAACAGTGCTTTTAAAGAAATATGTTTAGCCCCCCTGTGTCCCCCTCCCTGAAAGTACTGGTTGCGCCACTGAATCCTCTGTATGTTAATCTAAAGTATTTATTCCTACATAGGAGATAACTCCTGATCAACCGACTTCAATGGCTGTATATCAGGAGCCTCTTAACCCAAACACCTCGGAAAGGTAATTTTTGTTAACCTTAGCTTTAAAGTTAGTGTTGTAGTATCACTAAAATTAATTCTATAATGCATTTATAAGTCTGATGATATGTTGTTTGACCAACTGCTTGCATTCCTGGAGAAGGCAGTATGTATTGACCCTCCTAGTTTAGACTATACATGCACTATGTGACTTACGAATTATTGTGAACTATCCCTTTAGTAAAAACTATTGTGTGCTTTGATATAAGTTAAATATTCTAGTGCCTGTCTAGATTAACCGTAAAACATTCAGCCCAACAAGAGCTGTAGGAATAGGGTGNTACGACTTCAAGTCTAGGCGGAGGACGCTCTGTCCCCTTATGAGGATCCAGACCATGACTCCCCCTGTGTATCCATAAAGGATGGGATACCTGTGATCACCGTCCCTCCCAGCTATCCCCTCTGACTTGTCCTGACCTTGCTTCAACCTGTCCTGCTTTATCTACAACTTGTCCTGTAATGCAAATTCAAAATTTTTAAAACTTCCTAAGACTTCCTTATCCCTTTCCTCTTCTTTTCAACTCAATGTCATAAAGCACCACTCAGAGATGCGTCAAACTGTAGAAAATGAGTAAAACAAGGAGAAAAGAATGAAGGAGCAACTAATTTGGGGGATATGTGTATAAGAAATAGGGAAGAGGCGATTCTCCTGCTGGAACTTCCCAAAAAGTTTTCTTTTCTTTCCAAATTAGCTGAATAAGATGGAAGATGCATGACCAAGAAAAAAATGGAGAACAAGAAATATAAAAATGTCAATAGTGTGTCACAAGAAGAGGAGCGTTAGCAGATGTGCGAGCACCCAATATAATTGTATCTAATATCATCTAATAATTTTTAAAATATTGGTAAAATGAAAATTTAAAAAAATAAATATGTTAAAAAACTTGTATTAAGAACTAGACGTGTTTATATGTCTAGCCCAAACCAGACAGTCATTAGATGGGCTATGGAATAAACTTTATGCTTAAAAACATGACATTTAAATAAAAGTAATCATGGTTAAATATGTGATATAAATAAATGTAATGAGCTCTTAATAAAAGTAACTTAACTGAGATAAAATAGATAGTAATAGAGATTTATGACTAATGAATTTGAAATAGACAATTGTAGTCAAGTAAAGATACTATAGAGTTTATCCATATTTTTGTCAGCTGTTTCGTTTGGATCCCAATAAAATCAGAAATGCAAACCAATTTCAAATTTCTTGTTGGAGCATAATTGACCTTAGCTGACAAGATTGAACCTCATACTTAAGTAAGAAGTAAAAGCCTTCTCTTTTAATGAAATTGAACAAGTAATGAAGTCTGAATAATTTCAGAACTGGATCCTGGCATCAGCCTGTGGAATCAGATTTCTCCCAAACTGTTATTAAATCAGAGCTTCCTGATGCAGGTACATGCTTTTTAGTCAATTTGGAGAGAAAGTAATTTTCTATTTAGACAAATCTATGGTTTCTTTTTTACATTGTTAAATATTTTTTTAAGAAACCCCCCACCTCTCTTTAATTATGGGGAAAGAGGAAAGAAGAAAATTGATGTTAACAACTTCTTTATCAGCATAAACTTTATCTCCAGAAAGTCACAAATTTTTATTTTCTCAAAATCTGACGTGACAAATTCATTTTTATGTTAACTAGAAGCGTTGCCGATATTCACTTCTGATTATTTCCTTAGAAGCTGTACATGCTGCTGTCAAGGCTGAGATCGAAGCAAAAATGGATTCAAGTCTTGTCAAAACAGAACCAAAGTATTCCAGATCAAGATCAAGATCTGGTTCAAGATCAACCAGAAAATCCAGATCCAGGTACAAATTTGAATTTGAAAAGGAAAATATTAGGATTTACGATCTGCTCAGAAACAATTTTTTATCTTTTAGTCGATCTAAATCTCGTGATCGTCGGCGAAGACGTTCCAGGTCCCGTCACAGGCGGAGAACAAGGTCAAGATCTAAGTCTAGAGGACGACGAGCAGGTTCCAGGGATAAATATGGCAGGGTCAAACGACAGGGGTAAGAATTTTTTAAATATAATGTTTGAGAAAGATTTTACATAATTTGTTTTAGTGCGTCGAAATCCACCTCCAGATCAAGATCTAGAACTAGGTCAAGGTCAAGATCAAGGGGGCATGGAGAAAGAAGGGGTAGTAGGGACGGTGATAGAAGATCCAGGTATAAATTCATAGCCAGTGTTATACCTCTCCAAGTAGGCGTGGATTTAAAAAGAGTGGGGTTGACTTTATTTATTTATTGCATAAGAGCAGATGGAGAACCTAAAAACGTAATATTTAGCAAACAGTGATAATGCAGGTCCAGTCTTGTTAAAGAAAGCCATGTTTTTTGTTCAATCTTTGTCAATATTCACTATAATTGTAAGTACAAAACAAACGCTATCCGTGCTTCTAAGTTCCTTATTCATTTCAACAGTTAGTCAGTGGTTTATTTCAGTCATAAGACAATTGTAAACTTCCCTAGTAACGGGTATTGGTGGATATATCCTTTACCACGAGGCGGTCGGGAGATTCCACATTTGGGATCTACCTAGATCATTACTTATTTATTTATTTATTTATAAACCCAGAGGTTCGTGTCAACATAAACCAACTGTGGTTTTTTATACCGAGTTAGTGGTCTGTATTAATGTATAGCCATCTTTCTCAGCCAGCCATTTTTTTTTTTCAATTATAGCCATTTTGGTGACCTTCTTTTGGCTGGCTAGAGCAGTAGTTTATTTCAATAAAAACTAGTTTAGTCCCCCCCTTATCACAAGCTACTAACAAGCCAGTGTTTCTTTTGGATACTCTAACAATTGTTTTAATCCTAATTTTGCATGTCAACTATTTGTCGACAGTTCTTATTCTCCCTGTACACTAGACGAAGACGATCTCCAGATAAAACCCAGCAGATGATGTTGATAAGGAGGGAGGTCGAGGCCATGTATGACAATGCTATGCAGGTATCAATCTAGGAGGATATTTCACAGATTTTTTTTTACCTATAATGCTTCGGATACATTTAATTTTGATGCGGATCCTGATCTTAGATCCGACCTGATAAGAATGGATCCGGATTTTACAAGTGAAAAATAAAAAATTGCAAAATAAATTCGTCTTTTAAAAATTTTTTTTTTTGGAAACTTGATGATTATTTAGAGATTAGGAACTTCAACATTTAATGTTAACAGGTCTGGTGTTTTGATAGCAAACATTTTTCCAGTTGGATTTGGTTGTTATTTTGACCCTTGGATACGCATACTTTTGCGTATCCGGATACTAATCCAGGAAGCGAAAATTTTCGGATTCGGATCTGGGAGATGTTGAAAAATTGAGAAATTAAAAATGACATTTTTATTACTTAAAAATATTTTAGGCTATGATTCGTAAGAAAGAGGAAGAGTATGCTCAGCTGCAGGTAACTTATTAAAATAGTTTTGAATAAATGTTCTGCTACCTAACCTTGCATTGTTTTAATCTAAAGGATGCTTTTAAATTAGATTAACAATTGATTTGATTACTAACATTTATCATTTTTCTTTGGAATTTGTACAATGTTCAGGCTCTTGTTGTTGGAGCAACTGGTTTTGTTACTGGAGGAGAAGCAAATGCTAGTGCTGGATACACTCCTGTCCTACCTATCCAACCTGCTACATCTGGTACAATTATTATTTTTATATTTGGTTAATCATTATCCCCCCCCCCCCACTGGGGTTGAAAAGTCGATTTCGTGGACTCCAAGACATAACAGGTTGTAACTTGTTAACTATCTCTAGAAATTCTCTACTTGGAAAAATTAAGCATTGCTATTCAGTATTTCATATTTGAAAATAAAACTGAATTTTTGGTCAAGCAAGTTATTTACCTTTAGATAATTTTTAACTAATTTTTTTCGATTTTTAATCGGTCTGCAAAGAACACTTTAAAGCAAATAAATTTTTTTCTACAGTTTAATCCCCCCCCCCCTTTGTATATCTACAGGTTAAACTATTGTCCCCCCCCATATTTATATCCACCGTTTAAACCACTGTGCCTCTCCCCCATTTCTGTATTTTAAGTTTAAATCACTGTGACCCCCCCCCCCATTCCCCCATTTGTATATCCACAGTAAGGGTGATTGATTTGTGATTATTGCAATAACAAAAAATTTCAAAATCGCCATACGGTTACGAATAGATGATTTAATATCAGAGAAATCACCGAATAGGCCTCAAAAAAACATTTTGAAAAATTTCATGTTACGCATCATTTTCTTTGAAATTTTATGCTGAATTCAAATCTGAAAAGCGCTTTCAAAAATGAAGATTGATGTTCGAAAATTCGTCAAAAACATTAAAAAGTTTAAAAACAGATTTTTGTCCGTTATTTGGATTTAACTTCTTTAACTTTTAATATTTTTGAAAGTGCTCTTCAGATCTTAATTCAGCATAAAATTTCCAAGAAAGTTATGCATATTATGACCCCCCATTTCTATGTTCATAGTTAAAAACACTCTGACCCCCCTCTCCTCCCAAATATTTTTCACGATATTTAGAAGATAAATTTCGATCTGGGTTGACCATATTCAGTTCTTGAGATTTTAAGGATTGAAAACAATGAATTAAGTTCTGATAATGAGTTTAATGTAGGCTGGAGATCAGAACCAAGCCGACCCTCTATGGCAGCAATGAGGTGGAGTGTTTAGAATTAAGTTAAACATTGCTCTCAACAAACTTTGTGAAACTTTGATTTTTATTTTTCATGATATCTTGATATTTTACACGTAATTTATTTTTAATATTCATGTTTTGTTTAATGTTTTTTTTGTGCTGTTCTCTTTTTTATATTAAATTCTTGCTCTTGTGCAAAATTCTTGTTCCGATTTTTGTTCTTTCCTCTTTTTGTCCTTGGCAGTTCTTTGGTTTACTTGGCAATTCTTGTTTCTAATGTTGTGTATTTATAAATAATAAGATAAAAATATATCTAGGGATTCTGCCTCCTCAGCTGTGGCTAATGTTGTGGCCAGCATGCCCCCCCTACCAGGTAGAAAATGAAAAAAAGGATATTTGCTAAATAAAAACGACATTCAAAAATATTTTTCTCATTACTGATTTAAAACTTAATTTAATATTTAGAATATATAGAATTGTGGTAGGCTTTTCGCAAAAATATTAAAAATTGATTATACGATTTCTACAACAGCTTTACACTTATAAAAAATATTTTTGTGTTCTACAGTAGTAGAATCATCATGATATTTGTTTATCAAAATATCCACATTTTACCTTTTCTAAACATGGGATTTTTCTTCTTTTCCCCCCTGATGCTCAATGAAAAGGATTTAGCACCCTACACATTTTCCTTGTGTATTATAATTTTTCTTCCTTATCATTTTCATATTATGTAGGACTACCCACACTAGGAGAGTTGGGTCTAGATAAACGGCACGGAATCTACAATATTTTACTGGTAAGATGGAACAAAATTTATCTTCGTAGTTGGTCTGTTAAATTAAGATTTACCTGTAAGAAATTATGCTTAATTTTATTTATTTTTAACACAGACATAGATTTTTTTCCAGAGCCCGCGATTTAAAAAATTCGAAAAATTACGGCTCGAGTCCAAGCTGTCGTTGGGCCTTATTTACGGCTTGAGCTTTTGGATTCAAGCTGCATCTTATTTTCACATAGTTAAGTTCAAAAAAACAGTTTAATATTCTATTTGCCGGAATTTCATAGCAGGAATTGGCGCATTCCGGGTTTTTATGAGAACAAGACGCATTATTGAGCCTTATTCTTCACTAAAACCAACCAAGGTCGGTTTTATTTTCATTGGGCCTAACTCCCTAAGTCGAGCCGAAGATCTTGCAGCTGTCAATCACGTGACACAAAGCTGTCGTCAGAGTTGGGTCGAAGATTGGGTCTAAAAGTCGGGTTAAAGGAATTACGGCTCGAGCCGAAGTTTTTAAATCGCAGGCTCTGAATTCCTGAAACTATTTAGGAGCTAAAGAACCGGTTTTTCCCGGTAGTTGAACTCTCCGAGATACCGGAACACGTGGCAACATTTGTGACCAGTGCAGGTTGAATTTTATCTTACATGGACTATTTAATGGAGGGTCATGTCCGATTCACAACCGTACTTTTTAAACCTTTATCTGATTACAAATATGGAAGAAATCTTCGTTTTCTAGCTTGACATGTTTTATTATTGACAATTGTTTCTAAAACACTTTTAGAGAAATATTTAAAAAATCAATTTTCAAAGGAAAAAACGTTTATATCATATTCATTCTTGATTTTATATTGTGAATCGGACTTTCAAACTTTAAATTATGTCTGCGACTCCACTTTCTTTTAATGACTTAAAAACTATAATATTTCTTTTTAGAGGGGTCTAGGTTCATTCAGGATAATCTAGACCGAGCCACACTTGCTGATAAAGAACTCATTTTTAAGGAAAGCAATCTTGTCATATTCTCAAACATTGTAACACAGAAACACTGGACTGAAACTATAAAACAACTGAAAAACATAAATACAAAATGGCTCTCGGAAAATAAAACTTTCATCAGATGTTTCAAACATTCAAACCCTAAAACACTAAAACTTCTAAAATACTATTTAAAGACATGTTTAACTCTTGGCTACTCACTTCTTCAACTACTTTGACTATTTAGACCGCAGGGGTGGTCTGTGGGTTCAATGTCCGGCTTCCTTTCAGATCTTAAGTTTTTTAGCTCTATAACACTCTATTAACACTGAAACTTTCTAAAACACTAAACATATCAAATTTATAAATCCTAAAGCACAAAATACTAAACATATTAAATATATAAATCCTAAAGCACAAAACACTAAACATATCAAATATATAAATCCTAAAGCACAAAACACTAAAAATATTAAATATTTAAAACAAAACAAGATTACTGAATGTTCAGAAAATCCTACCGAAGACTGTTTGGCTCTCCATGAATGTTTTTGGAAATTATGTAATTCAGGTGTAATTCCAGTAATATATTCCGCTCTCTTATCTCTATATAATTCCAGTAATATATTCCGCTCTTATATCTATATGATTCCAGTAATATATTCCGCTCTTATATCTATATAATTCCAGTAATACATTTCGCTCTTATCTCTATATAATTCCAGTAATATATTTCGCTCTTATATTTATATAATTCCAGTAATATATTCCGCTCTTATCTCTATATAATTCCAGTAATATATTCCGCTCTTATATCTATATAATTCCAGTAATATATTCCGCTCTTATCTCTATATAATTCCAGTAATATATTCCGCTCTTATATCTATATAATTCCAGTAATATATTCCGCTCTTATCTCTATATGAGATTTTCTTAATCTATCTGAATTTAAAGATCTCTAGGATTAAGTAAGGAACCTCTTGGTTTTGGTTTTTATAAAGTCTTGTGATTTTCAACATGTATTTTTTAATTCATATTAAGAACTATCATTTGCTGAATTGTTTAATATTGTTTTTTATTTAGATTTCCAACCTAATCGTTGCATATATTAATTTTTATCTCATCTTTAAAGGGAGTGTTCGCGAAAAATGAAAGGGGGTATAGGCTCGCGGCTAAAAAAAGCGCTTTTGATTGCTACTAATATTACTTCTATCTGTTACGTCTATAAGGAGAAAATTGTTAAAAACGACTGATACCGAAGAACGTAGTGTCCACACAGATTCAGAAAGATGCAACATTCAACACTGATCGTCGTAAATAAATCAATTAAATTCCAAACAAATCATTCAGATATTACAAACAATAGTCGTCGATTATTTTTCGACGCATTCGTAAATGGTTGATATTTCATAATATTTTGTATTTTTCATGATCTGAGAGTTACTTTTGAAAACATTTATGCATGTTTCGAGGATTTTTGATAATGAAGACGACATTTTTATATTTTCCAGGAATGTTCGAAAATCCAGCGCCAGCGAAAATTATTTAAAAAAAAATATAAAATATTTTGAAATATTAACTATATACGAATGCGTCTAAAAATAATCGATGACTACTGTTTGTAATATCTGAATAATTTGTTTGGAATTAAATTGATTTTTTTACGATCCGAGTTAAATGTTGCATCTTTCCGAATTTGGATGGACGCTGCGTTCTTCGGTGTGAGTAATTTTTAACAATTTTCTCCTTATAGACGCAACTGATAGAAGTAAGCTTAGAAGCGATCAAAGGCATTTTATCGCATTAAGCCTATACCCCCTTTCATTTTTCGTGAACACTCCCTTAAAGTAATATATTTTTTAAGAAATATTTTGAGTGTGGAACTCCAATGCAGATTCATATTTTGTTCCAGAAAATACTTCCAGACACAAGGAAACTTGCATTTAAAATTTTTATGTAATAAAAATAATAATAATAATAATGATTCACATGGGCTCCAAATTACAAAGCTCGGATAGGATAGGATAGGGTATTTTATACCAGAATTGTGAAGTAAAGGCGTCTCAAAAAGTTAATGCATTTGAATATTTGTTAAAAAATAATGCTCAAAAAACAATGGTGCCCAATGCCATTCGAGGCCGTACACTGCCCCTTTATTGCGTTCAAGGGTTCTTTGTCTGGGGGCCGACATTGGGGTCTTTTGTAGATTCCATTTTATTATGTTGATCCTTATCATTCTTGTTGTCTGTAATCTCTATTAAATATCTTAAAATATGTCTAACCTGCAAGATGTTTTTAAATGTATATATCTGAGTAGAAAGCTGACATTAAATAAATACGGAAGCCGAGTTGTACAAACTGCACTTTCATACATTTCTAAGGTAAAGATATTTCTTATTTGATAATTTGTTTATCAGAATAAAGTAGAATTAAATTCTTCTTTTTAGTTAAACTTTCCTGAAAAAGTATATTTTTTCAGGAGCAACATCAACAATGGGCACAGGAGATAAACAAGGTAGATAATTAAGTAAATTCAATTTTTACAATTGGCGTTAACATTGACCATGACCATGACCATGACCATGACCATGACCATGACCATGACCATGACCATGACCATGACCATGACCATGACCATGACCATGACCATGACCATGACCATGACCATGACCATGACCATGACCATGACCATGACCATGACCATGACCATGACCATGACCATGACCATGACCATTGACCATGACCATTGACCATGACCATGACCGTGACCGGGACCGTGACCGTGACTGTGACCATGACCGTGACCGGTATAATGACTGATGACCTAACCTCTTAGGATGTTGTTGCCTTCTGCCGGGACGGGAACGCGAACCATGTTATACAAAAAATAATGGAGACTGCTGAGGATTTAAGGAAATCATTAATCAATCAAAAAATCAATCAAGTCCATTCTAATATTTTTTTTTTATAAAATTCCAAAACCTTATCCTTTCTATCTATCCAGTACCAAAGAATCGCCACGAATACGTTAACTTTATGAAACTAATGAAATTGATTAATTTCTATCAGGGCGCCACATATACAGCTCATGCTCTACAGAATTAACGTAAATATTTCTTTAATTCTATTAATAATTTTTTTTGAATTTTATGTATATTTTGTTCTTTCCCAACGAAATAATTTTTTTTTATTCAGGATGTAGCGCTAACCCTTTGCTCCGATAGGTTTGGTTGCAGGCAAGTTTTATCTTTTGTCTATTTTGTAAATGCTCTTTATTTTATACTTGTTTTCAAAAAATAGATTTGACCAGGGCCCAATTTTGTTGCGTGACAGTGATAACCCCGGGCAATGTTTTGGTTTAATTTTAAAAAGAGAAAATATAATGTGAAGAATTATTAAAAAAAAATGTGTAGGATGAAAAACTAAATTACAAAAATCATCCAAGTATCCCCCCTCGCTCTCCTTCTTTCGCCTCTGGTTACATAAAATCCATTATGACGAGAATGAAAAAGTTTAACAAAGAAAAGATTGCTTCTTTAAAGCAAAGAAATATTAATAAGAACAACTTTAGTCGCAACTTTGAATTTTATCACTTGAGAGTTATCTTAGGACTTCATAAAACACTGAACAAAAAACATTAGATTTTGTTTGGAAGAGGGGGGGAGTGGGTTGTGATCCGGATCCATTGGATCAACATTTTAGCTCCTTGATTCGGAATTCAGGTCCAAGGGCCAAAATTTCAACCAAAGCATCGAAAAAATCTTATTGCTCCAAAAGCACCCATTTAAAATGTCAACCAAAGATATCCCATTGAAAGTATACCTAGTTCATTGAATAGTAAATCAAGTAAGTGCGTGTTTAAAAATAACGAAAACGAAAGACTTCTTTTAAAATTTGTTTTTGTGAAGAGAAACTAGCAAAACGTTAAGAAATATTATTGAGCTGGATTCGGAATATGGATCTGGTTTTGTATCCGGGTCCAGTTTTTACAGTTCTAATCCTGATCTAATGTATGTATCTATCTAGAGTACTGCAGAAGGTTATCCAGGTGTTTGGGGATGACCAACGTAAACAATGTAAAGCTGCTGTATTGCAGATGATGACTGAGGTAAAAAATTTCTATTTGAATAGTTTCAATATTAAACATGAGGTCGGGGGAATACGCACTTGAATTAAGATAGGGTTTAAATTTTAATTTAATTTTTCTGAGAGTTAACTACATTCCTTTGTAAAGAGCTGGGTTTAACATGGATCTGCATAAATAAGATTTTTGGGATTTAATGAAAATTGCTACATACCAAAAAAAATTTTTAAAGAATGAGAATTTTTTTTATAGTGTTAAAAAATTATCAATAATTTGGAAGAAAAATGAATTTATAGAACGAAAAGAGTATGTGAAATATTTTTCAGATAAGACTTAGCGTCTGTTAATATAGTTTGTTCGTTAATGTTTGTTCAATGTAGGTGGTTTAGATCTACTTTTTCGGTTTTTTAGATTTAACCTCTGATTATAAAATATCTGTAAATCTCAACGAGAACAGGTTTGCTGTAAATTATTCTGAAAGTTAACTGTTAAAAAGTGTTTAATTTATAATTCAATTAGAGTTTTATTGATTTTGTAATAATTTAGATGACAACCAGTCCATTCGGAAACTACGTTATACAAGATCTTATGGAATATGGAAACCCAGGAAAAAATCAAATAGTCAATTTAAATTTTGAATTTTGAATTTCAAATTTACTCAGAAGAAAATATGTGAAATAATAAGATTAAAATTTAGATTTTAAATTTGGATTACATTGTACAATTTACATATATTATAATTGAAACATTTACCCTTTGATTTTGAATAATTTGTTGTTATTATTGATTTTTTTGTCCCTTGTTTGATCTATATAATGATTAATTGATTAATATCCTCAGATGACAGAAATAGAGTTTTTCAAGAATGTTTGGGGAATGTCCTCAAAATGTCAAGGTAGGGTGAAACCTTGAACTTTAAATTTTTTCTTTTTAAAGTATTAATGCTTTTTGACAAAGCTATGAGTTGGGTCTTAAACACTGTAAATATATTGTGATCATTTTTCTATTAATTCAGCGCTGAAATACAAAGTATCTAAATTATTAAGAAAATGTTAATTGTTTAACCAGCTCTGTACAGTATACAGTGCACACTGTATGTACCAGTGTACAGTGCACACTGTATGTACCAGTGTACAGTGCACACTGTATGTACCAGTGTACAGTGCACACTGTATGTACCAGTGTACAGTGCACACTGTGTGTGCCAGTGTACAGTGTACACTTATTAAAAGGCAGGACTAAATGATTTAAATTTCCTCTGCATGTTACAATCCTGAAATTCTGATATAATTAATCTGTTTGTTCAGGAATAAGTTTGCGAGTAATATAATCGAACATGTTCTAAAGAAAGGAACTACAGAGGAGAAGATTCAGGTTGTCAGGGAGATATGTAACGTTGAGTCCCTCGACACTATGATGAAGGTTAGAGATATGATATAGAAGAATTCGAGTAGTTTTAACTTGGGGCCAGAACGTATAAACGAAATCTATAACTTCTAACCTAACTGCTCTCATACTTTTACGAAAATATTTTTTTAAAATTTTTTGTTGGTATCTTATCTTGCATTATGTTCAGGACCAGTTTGGTAATTATGTTGCTCAGCGGATGATTGAATGCTCTGAAGTTGATGTTCTTCAAGTTATCCACAGTAAAATGCTCCACGTCATTCATGACGTAACGCCCTCTGTCGACGACAAAATGCGGAAAAATCTTGAAGTTAATCTCCAAAAGCCGAATATTGTCGAGCTTGCAAAGGTTTACTGTCAAAATATCGAAGCATTTGAGTATGTCAGACATAAGCATGCAGATATCTTGCCTAAGGTGAGAATCAGAAATAATTTCATTGATGTAATTACAAAATGTTTCAGTTTTTTATGATTTAAATTTTAAAACGTGTTGTGCTGAAAAAGGATGTATTCCTGTATACTGTAAGATTGACAATCAATTGATTAATAAACAAAAACAGAGGCGCAACTAGGACTTCTGATTTTTTTAAAACTAACTATAGTATAATAAAATTTCTACAATAACTCTATTGGTTTTCTTATTCCTGTGATACTGATTTTCGCCATTCTTTCTTTCTTTTCATTCTGCAGGGGGGGGCGCGCCCCCCCCCTCTCAGGTGCTAGGGGAGGGCGCGCGCCCGGCCGCCCCCCCCCTAGTTGCGCCTCTGAACAAAAAATGCTAGATGTTTGTTTATTAGCATTTTTATGTTATTAAAAAATTGTATATATTTATAGATGGATCAGTGGTTGTCCGATATATCTCAGCATTGCGCGGTAAATATCGAAAACCACGAGGTTTCAAGACTGACAGAGATCCTAGCGGATATTAACGGAACTAATGAAAATGGTGATCTTGATTCAATGCGACAGGTATTTTTATAATAGTCCAATTTGAGATAAATTTTCCTTTTTAAGTCTTTTTGATTAAAAAATAACATTTAGAAAATTATTTTTTTTTCAATTTATTTCTCTAGGATCTACGAAGCTACCTGAAATGTTTGGTACAAGATTATTGTAAAAAGGCAGCAACCTTCCATGTCAAGGTAAGGTTGTTTCTCCCCCCCCCCTCTACACTCCGTCCCGCCTTCTTGAAAGAATAAATAAATCGAGGAGGATGAAAACCCCTTATTAATCTCGAACGAGCCACGGCCCGCTTATATACTATTCTGGGCTAGTGTACATGTAAATTTGTCGGTGGGCTAATCAGCTGTTATATCTCAGTGGACCCTGGATATTTTTAGGAAATTTCTAAAACCTCTGCATAGCAAATTTTAGGTTTTACTACAACAAATTTTTATTCTGGCTATTTGTTCATTCTATAAAAATAATTTTTACTTAAAAAAAAGTTTGTAATGAAGTTCAGGGTCCAGATTAGAGTAGAACTTTGATAGATAGTGGGCCCTGGAGTAAGCAGAAATGAGATACTGTAGCTAAAATCTTGTGATCATAGCATTTAAAAATAACTGTTCTACTTTGCTACGCCCATCCGAATAGGATGAATGCGCATTCTAGATAGATTTTCATTCGGACTTCTGTCATGGTGGCTCTGGTCCATGTATACCATTTTCTTAGTGCATTGAATGAACAGCAAACAAATTTTTACGTTCTTCTAGTTCTCTGAGTTCTAGGGGGGCTCTGCCCCCCTTGCCTCCCCCTAGATAGGCCCTTGAGCGAGCATGCCGCAAAACACGTTTGGGCGGCGGTGATTACCCATTGAGGACTATCTGCACTCCCCCCTTGTCTAATCCTCCTATTTTTTAAGAATCAGGTCATGTTAGGGCATAAATGAAATATTGAATTTTTGTAAATCAATAGAAAATAGTTTCAATTGAATTAAAGTTTATGAGTTCAATATCCTTTAAAATGTTCAACTTTTTTACGCGCATTTTCAAATATTCCTGGTGTAGAATGACGCAGATAATTCCAACTTTTTTACGCGCATTTTCAAATATTCCTGGTGTAGAATAACGCAAATAATTCCGAGTTTATAGAACTTTTATTAATTATAGAGAAAACCATAGAATTTTTCCGGGTGGGTCCATGGGGAAAATTATGGTGATAGGTATGCCAAATATTTTGCTATTATATATCGCGAAGGGTGGCAATTACGGAGGCAGAAGAGATCTAAGCTTTACCAGAATAAAGTGATATAATCATTGCAATACTTTAGTACATTCATATTTTATGCCCTAACGTGACCAGATTTTTAAAAAATAGTTGTATCTTCAAGAATTAGAAACTTTAAAACTCATAATAATCGAAGGACGAGGATTTCGAGTTGGCTCGGGCGAGAAAATGAGGAGAATGTAGCTCGGAAGAGAAATTGTTGTGGCTGACATTCCTCCCCTCTGTAAACAAATCAGTAAATAATTGTAAATATTTTTAGGTTTCTAATACGAAAGAGATGCTGGAATCCCAGGGTATTACATTCAATCCTATGGTAAGTTTGACGGATATAGGAGTTTAGTTTAAAGGGAAGTTTTATCAAAAAAGCTCTTGTTTCACATTTTCTGCGCGCACGAATATTCTGCGTTATCTGAGGATATACATATTTGGCAATCTTGAATATGGAGATAACTAAAAAGGAATAATTAGTGGATAGCGGAAAAGAAATGTGAAAATGGGAAGAAGAGGAGAAAAGTAAGAAAATTAAGGAAGAGGAGAAGAGTTAAAAAATAACGGAAGAGGAGAAGAATTGGAAAATTAAGGAAGAATAGTAGAATTGGAAAATTAAGGAAGAATAGAAGAATTGGAAAATTAAGGAAAAATAGAAGAATTGGAAAATTAAGGAAGGGAAGAAGAATTGGAGAATTTTAGAAAAGGAAAACAAATGGAGAATAAAGAAAAGAGGAGAAGAATTGGAAAATGTAGGAAGAATAGAAGAGTTGGAAAATTAAAGAAGAGAAGAATCGGAAAATTAGGGAAGAGGAGAGGAATTGGAAAATTAAGGAAGAAAAGAAGAATTGGAGAATAAAGGATGAGGAGAAGAATTGGAAGAAGGAATTTGGACAGCAGCAAAGAATAAGAATAAGACAAAAAGAGATGATTGTTTGTTATAAATGCCAGTAATAGAGCTAAGAGAGTTGACTAATTAAAGATGCTAGTCTACGTAAACTTATTATTATCATATTTTAGATTGGTACAGTTATGCAGGGACTACAACCTGTAGAAACTACAGGAGGTGAACAAGGGGGGCCTGGGTACAGTTCAGGGGGTCCGGGATACAGCTCAGGGGGAGCTGGATACAGCTCGGGTGTTCCTGGATACAACCCAGCAGCTTATCAGACGGGGGGATACAGTGACAGAGGATTTGGTGGGGGTGGATACAGAGGTCGAGGATACAACAGGGGAGGTGGACATGGTGGATCAGGGGGTTCTGGTGGAATGTATCATAAACGCCAAGAGGAAGAATATGTTTAATTTGTTTTTAAATCATTTATTTTTTACTTCGATCCGTTTGGACCATTTCTAATTTTGTGTACATCATAAAAGCCGAAGCCACAATCTATGTAAAAGATACACATAAAGAAAAAAATCAAATATTTGTAAAGCCCCCACTTGAATTTGCTTTTAATTTATCATAAAAACAAATACAATTACAATATCATTTGACCAACAATCAAGCTAGTGACGTCACACTACTTTAAATAATTCCCTTCCATATTAAATAATTAGCTTGTCATAAACAGAAACCTTTTCCTTAATCGATTTCCTTTAATATCTCTAGAAAGTAATTACAAATGTTTAATCTAAAAAGAAGTCATTTTTCATTAAGAATTAAACATCTGATATTCTAGAGAGATGGGTATGACCAGAACGGATCAGGATACTACTAAACTTGGATATCTGGATATAAACAATCTTGATATCTATGTCGGGATTTACGGGATGTTTGACGATATAATCGTCTGTGTATTTCGTACTTTGTACAGGGTACACAATATATAGGATTCAGGACACAGAACCTGGATTTCATTTTAATCATTACTTACTTTTTAAACATTTTTAAAATGTTAAAATTTGATGCTATAGCATGAAGGAGCATCAAATTTAAAATTTGCGATCTAATTGAACCTAATTAGTTTATCAGTTAGATCTATATTTTATTTCTACGACTGAACTATAAAGCAAAATTCTTCTTGTATAAGTTGATCAGACAATTTTCTGTGTAAGCTTGATAAACGTTTTGTTTATGTTTTAATTATGTCTAGTTCATAGTTGTAACTTACTTTAACATTTTATCTTTTTTACGACAGCATGCATTATATATTTTACATTTTATGTTTTAAGTTTTACATGATCAAGAAAGAATCCAATTATTTTCCTGTAGCTATTCCTGGGTCTGAAAGATGTCCCTTTTCATAATCCCTATTTGACCCAGCCGCTAAGGGTTACATCTTATTTACTCCACAAGTCCTCTGACTAATGCCGAATATACTAGAAGTACCTTCTAAGTTATATACTTATTCAATTAAGAGTTGTGTTTAGAGCATGGAGGGGGATTTTTTATGTATTTCTAAAAAGCTTTATTTTTATTTTATTACTGATTAGTTATTGAGTTAGATCAAATATTACATTTAAACTTAATGAATTCTACTGCATTAAATTACAAGACATAAGTCAGGGGTAGGATGGGCCAATTGTAGGTTTATAACCATTTTATATTTCAATGATATTCACCTGTGTACTCATTAGGTCTGATCTTGATCCAAGTTGGGTTGCCCCTCTCGCTGCTCAGTTTTGCATATAGGGATTAGGTTTATTGGTTCTCCCTGTCTAGTGACTGCCCTGATCCGAGTTAGGTTACTTTCTTCCCCCCTCAGTTCTGTTTGAGGGGTTTAGGAAGCTTATTCAATGCATCTAGGTTTCGTCCTCAGATCCTCATCTTCAGCCTCATTAACCTGTACATTTATATCAAACTTTATATGCTTAACAACTACGGCTGAAGGTCATAATATCTAGTAAGTTTTACATCATCTGTAATGTATATCTTTTACTGTACATCGACAAAGAAGCTGTAAAAGATCAAAATGTATTTTCTGTCATTCATTATAAGAATCATTGTTCATAAACTATAAAGGAGAATTCTAATGTGTTTAATTGATGTTATGATTTAATGTACATTGTACTGTATTTATATACAGATCAATCATTTATTGGAACATCTTTAATAAAAGTTTTTTTTCTAGATAAAATGTTTTGTTTGAAGAAGTAGACGATTTGAACATTTTGGCAGAACTAGTTTACAAGTTTATTTTTTGGGTATGTTATCTTTCTAGGAAAATCATTTGAAAGAAAGATAAAAGGAAATTTATTTTTAACAATTCCGAGCATATTTAAGATTTAGCCTAGTGAAGACTAATTTATTGTCTTTTTCAGCTAAATAACTCTTAGAAATTAACTGAAACTGCGTCGATTTAAAATAAGTTTGCTATTTTCTCGCCAAAGTGATAACTTAGAACAAAGGATCAAAATCAAACTTTTAAAACATATAAATTCAAAACTTATTCGACTTCCGATTTTTGAGGATCTAAAAAGTTCTGGTTGAAAAGAAAAAAGAAAATAACGATGTATAACATTTAAAGCCGATATATGCAATTTTCTCATTTAATTCTACTTGTTCTTGTTATAGTTGGATGCTGATACAGCTGATTGGAGATCATTGAACAGATTTACTGTACCCAGCTAAATACTCAGTAAAGAAAACAGCTGCTAATGTTGTATTTTGAGTGTTACTAGTTCGTTATTCTAATCAGATAATAAAGTTTTTAATTTTCTACTAGCTTAAAGTTAATGTTAAGTACCTTATACTGGAGAATGAATGAAATTAGAAGCTTTAGTGTGTAAAAATATTATATTGTGTCCCGAAAACACAACAATTGAGAGATCTGAAAGGGATTGTAAGCGTAATCTCAAGTGACCCTCCCTCCATGTAAAGATGATAATGCCTGATTCACAACGGTACCCTTAAAAGCTTTGACCGATCAAGGTGGAACTAAGAATCAGTTTATAAATTTAAAAAAGAAAAGTTTTAATTGTGGTTTCTCTACAAAATTGACTTGCGCATTTCTACTACACAAAGCATATACAGGATAAGGAATAATCCAGGTTGAACATATTTAAACCTAGAAAAACGGCAAAAACTTCTACATAATAGAGGTTTTTAGGGTACCGTTTAAAGGAATGGAAACTTAATTTCAAGCGAAACTCCATGCATTTATATTGATGTTTATAATTTAGAAAACTGAAGTGAATTGTGCATCGTCTAATTGTAAGAATTAATAAGGTTACGCCCATAGATATATAATAGAATATATCATAGTAAATGTTTGATGTAATTTTTTCGCTGGGGTGTTATGCAGTACGTTAGACATTGGACCCTGGAACTTACAATTTGTCTTTGGTTTTCGTAAAGTTAATAGATGTCAAAGGAGTATAGAAAAACATATTGTAAGTCTTTAAAACTTGATAAGATTTAGCCTCCTTCTTTGTATTATAAAAATAGTTGGAGATACTAAATATTTAAACAACCTTGCTTATATTTAATATTTTGAATTTTTAACAAATTTCTCAATATCTTGGTCAATTCTTAAGGTACAAAAACGGCAGACCACATTTTGGAATTCTGAAAACAAGGCGCCTTTGATGCTACCAACTCTTTGAAGAAAATGCTTTGTTCACAAGATTTTATCTACAGTATCTCATTTCTGCTTACTCCAGGGCCCACTATCTATCAAAGTTCTTCTCTAATTTGGACACTGAACTTCACTTCAAACTTTTTTTAAATTGCAAATTATTTTTATACAGTGAAACCCTTAATAACGAATACATCGAAAGAATTCATCAAATGTCGTATTCTTCACTTTCTGATAATGGAATGTTGCAGATATTTAGTTTTTTAATTAAATGATTATATGGAACTCTGTAAAACTGTTCCCGTATATTCATGGCTATTTATTCATTTTAGCAAATACTGAAATTTACGTAATATAGTATAAAACTCATTGAAAAATTGTCAAGACGACATTTGATAAATTCTTCCGATGTATTTGTTATTAAGGGTTTCACTGTAGAATGAACAATAGCAAGAATAAAAATTTCTTTTAGTAAAACCTAAAATTTGCTATGCAGAAGTTTTAGAAATTTCCTAAAAATATCTAGGGTCCACTGAGATATAACAGTTGAAAAGCCCACCGACAAAGATACATGTACACTAGCCCAGAATAGTGTAGATCGGTAGATAGAAGCATAAATATAAGCGGGCCGCGGTTATTTGTACTTTTAAAAAGGTTTGAAGTGAAGTTCATGGTCCAAAGCAGAGAAGAACTTGGGCAGATTGTGAGCCCTGAGCTGAAAACTTTTGTGTTGGATATCCACAGAAAGACATTATTTCATAATATCCAGATTAAATATTGCTTGTTCTCCACATGAATTTAAACTCCAGAGCTGAAAACTTTTGTGTTGGATATCCACAGAAAGACATTATTTCTTAATGTCCAGATTAAATATTGCTCGTTCTCCACATGAATTTAAACTCCAGATTAATTATTCGACGGGATATCTGGATATTTCATTCTAAAGTTTTCAGCTCTGATTAATTATTCGACGGGATATCTGGATATTTCATTCTAAAGTTTTCAGCTCTGGAGTAACAGAAATGAGCTACTGAAGCTAAAATCTTGTAAACATAACTTTGCCTCCTAAGAGTTGAGATTTACAAAATGTGGTCTGTTGTTTTTGTACATTTAGAATTGACTGAATTTAAGACAAAATTCTCAATATCTCAAAGTATAAAATAATAAGATTGTTCAATTCTTCAGTATCTACGATAATTTTTATGATACAAAGAACAAATTTTTAAAGACTTGCAATGTTTTTCTTTAATCCTTTGACAACTATTATTTTAAGTCCAGGGTCCAATCTTTAACGTACTGCATGACACCCCAGCCATAAAATTATATCAAACCTTGTCTATTTTATACCCATGGTCTTCAGTCTAGATATCTTTAAATCGGTGAGATTTGATAAACATTTATCATGTCTCACTGTGCACGGTTTTATGGCTTGGCAATATAATTCTGCCAATTTAGTCATCATTGGGTAGGGTAATAGAAGATTAAACCATAGTTTAGAAATCCCTGTAGAGCACTTGAGGAAACCCATTTTTACTTTATTCAGGCTGAAGTCTCACTTGACCAAATTAATAGATTCTATTTTGGCGAAATGAGACTGCTCAAAATGCACAGTGATCTGGATTATCTGGATAAAAGAACAAATGTTTTCCCGTCCACTGCACTTTGAAGATTCTAAAGTAGTATTTTATGTGGGTTTGAACTTATTCCGAGTTTACTTTTGAAATACGAATTATTCGGCTGATTTCGTAATTATCAACAGTTTATATGGTGGACGTTGACCCATTAGTGAAAGTAATATCGGAACTATTTTCATCATATAACCGATACATACATTCTACATTTCTTTTCTAGAAGCAAGAAGCTGATCCATATTTTTTTTTTATCTGAAGAGTTTCATACTGTTCAAATGGGTAAAAGGAAAGGGGGCTTGAAGCTTCCTAAAAACCTAGTTTAAGTAGTGAAGATTAATTTTATCCAAAATAAAACCCTCACAGCGCAACATTGTATTCTGCTGTAGTGCTTTCCAAATAAACGGCTTCCATGGCGCATCTTATATTTCAATTGGAAACATTTTCTCTGTGTACATATTGTAAAACAAAAACAAAAACTGTTTGCGAATTTCAAAATTTAATAGAAATAAATTTTTGTTGAGGAAAATTTTTTTATAACTGAATCATGCCTAAACAAACCCTAGGGTCATGTTGGGTTTAACACAAAATGTGGGCCCAGTCGGTTCAGTCTTTTAGACGTTTATTGGATACAAACAAACAGAAAAACAAAGTAAATATATATAATTTGCTTTAAATTACTGTGCAGTAGACGGTAAACAACCTATGAAGTAATCAGATCTTACCTTAAAAACAGTTAGTAAATATAATAATCAAATTATCAAATATTAGAATAGAGAAATATATTTTACTTAAAAAATAACAATTAACATTAACAAATTATTTTGGAAGATCTTTTCTGAGATTCGAGCTCTTCTCTATTCATTGGTTCATCTTACCAATATTTAACAATAGTTAAGATTATTAAAATAATTTACTTTTTATAATTGTATATATGGGGTGTCCCACGAAACATGAAAGTAGCAAGACGAATTGAAAGTAGTCTTTAATCTTGGAATTTATTTGTGACATTGAGTCGTCAACCTACTTTAACATTTATGGTTCTTGAAACGATAACCACAGAATTCTCCTAGTCCTGTTATTTCTAAAATGTGGTCTGTCTTTTTTGTGCTGTCAATTTTACCGGAGATATTAAGAATGTTCAGATTTCAATTTTGTTAAGTAAAACCAAAATTGTCGCAATTTGAACGAAATTCTTCATATCTCGGGTAATGTTGAAAGCAAAAAAAGGCATACCACAATTTGGAAATTTCAGTACTAGGAGCTATTTTGTGATTACCATCTGTAGAATTTTACTTTAAAATTAGGTTGACAAACAAATGCAGCAAATTATATCAAAAATCAAAGACGACGTTCAAGACGTCTTGCTACTGTCATGTTTCGTGGGACACCCTGTATACAAAAAACAAAATACAACATGGCAGTCAACAACAAGGCACTGGAAATTGGAAAGTGGAAATACAACGATCAGAAGTTTACAAAATGTTTTCGAGCAATTTATCTGTAGAATAAATATGTGTTTGTACAAGTCAACTGTACAGTTGTACAGTACTATTCACTATTCAGGTGGTACATAGGTTGCAACCACACAGTCCCCACCAACATTGATCAGACACTGTGCCTAAATAGAGTCATTTATTTTAACTTGTACAGTACAACTATATATTCACCTAATAATTGAATAATAAAATAAAATATAAATAAAACAATTTATTAAAAAATATAAAACAAAAAATGCGTCATTTTCTGTCAAGAGTTTTTAAAGCTAAATCTTGGAAAAAACATACACTTGAAGTACAGGGTTATCCATAAAACTATGAGACTTTAGACTTCAGAGACGACTGTACGGAATTTATTCAGTCGTTTTTCCCATAGTACTGGTTTTAGCAACTGAAAACTTGTTTCTTTCTTTTCCGAATCATTTAATGAATTATTGAACACGACATAAAACAAGGTCGCCTTCAAATCCTTATATTCTTTATATTCTTAGAGTTTAATGTCGTCATTTAAGTCTCATCCTTTGTGAGTAACCCTGTAGTATGAAGTGAGATAGTGGTTTAGTACAGTCGTCGAAAAACATATCATACAATGGAGAGAAACTACTTTCGATTTCAATTTTGACTTATATGAAGCATTAAACACATGGAAACACATAAACATGGAAACAAAGAGAAGCTGTCAATTACAAGAGCTTCTCTTTGATTACTTGTAATTCGGAAAAAGCTTCTGAACAACAAAAACTCTAATTTAAAAAGTCGTCTTCATTGTATTGATAAAATCTCTTACCACTCTACGACACAGACAGTCTCCATTGAGGATTAGTAAAAAATGTCCAACATGCTTAGAATAGAAAATACCTGATTTTTGTGCGTCGAGTTGTTTAACACACACTCGGACATGAAGTAGGATGTAACTGCATTTCCGCCTGGACATGAGGATAGAATAACTTCAGATATAAACTCAAATTACGACATATGATGTTTATTATAAAATTTTTAAAACATTTGCAATCCTTTATTTTTTTAATTTCAACTAAAATAGTTTTAGATTTTTTACATTTGAATCGTAGGCTCAATCTGGCGTCTAGAGATTCCTTTGGATTTAAAAAAACAATTGTGTAAAAAAAATTTCAAAAATTTATCCGTACCTAGTGCAGCTACATGAGCTCTCAGTATACCCAATACTTCGGACATAAATCCTTGAACAAACTTAGAGATCCCTCCAAGCTAAAATATAAAAATACAAAAAGACGATTTTTTCGAGAAATAATATATTTATGTCAAATTAATCACCTCTCTAACACTAGTGCTCTCACGGATAAAGAAGAAATTAAGATTTCCTACAAAAATATGTATTGTTACGAGGGGTGTTTAATAAATTTTGCGAAAAACTTCTAGACATCTCAACCCCTTAATTAGTTTTTAATTTCACTATATTTATACCAGTTCAATTTTCTGACCAGCTAATGTCTATCAGATAATATGTTGGACGCAATTGCCTTTCTCCCGGAGCCCGTAAACAATGCTTTTCACAGCATAAATATTTTATCTCAAGGCTCAAACTTTATCCATTTATATGTGTTATAGAGGTTGGGTAAATCTAAAAAGTCAAAAGAGGGTAAGCCTTTATTGTAGGAAGGGACCTTGTAATTTACGTTTCAGCAAACCAATTAATATCTTTTCCTAGGACCACTTTGGAGCGAATGTTGTCCAAATCGTTGCCATTTTTCCAATCTTGCTTTACAACTTTGTATGCAGCACCATTTCAGATGCCAAACTCATCGAACTTCATCAACTAAGAAGCCTCGCGAATTTGGTCTGAAAAATTTAAATTGTGTCGACTGTTTGTGTGGTTTTTGTGGATTTTTCCTGCTCAGACATTTCCTCTTTGAGCCAACACTCTCCATTACACTTTTTCCCTTTTAGTCCACATGTAGACTGTTGCCTTGTCCAAATATTTCTCTTCTAATGCATTTTGGATCTTGTCAAAGGTGTCCGCTTTATATTTAGAATATTTTAGGCCCGAACTTTTGGTTCGAACATCCCAAGTGTCCTCTTTACTTGGTTGGTATTAAAAACGTTTCTGTTCTGTTACAACGGAGCTAAAAAACTTGAGGGAAAAGGCGGATTACAAAGAAATAAAAAGTTTGATGAAAACAACAAAGATAGATACAGTAAGTTTAAAAAAAAATTACAGGGCTGAGACGTCTAGAAGTACATTATTGAACATTCCTCGTAAATATGATAATATTTGAGGTTAAATATTCAAAACAAAATGATAAAATAACAATCATGTTAAAATGTGAAAATCAATGGTATATGGAAAACTTAATGAACCAGAACTAGACCCGTATATCATAACCATAACTAGAACCATATTCATAACCATAACTAGAACCATATTCATAACCATAACTAGAACAATATTCATAACCATAATTAGAACAATATTCATAACCATAACTAGAACCAGAACCAGAACCATAACTAAAACCATAACCATAACTAGAACCATAACCATAACCATAACTAGAACAATAACCAGAACCAGAACTAGAACCATAACTATAGCAATAATAATAATAGTAATAAAAAAATAATCACCTAAATGATGTTCTATTCTAGCTCCAGGAATAAAGGGGAGAGGGGTAACATTTATTCCGAACATTTCTCTAAAAAGTCGGCTATCAATATTAGACATCGTTTTTGGTTTATTTTGGCCTATATTTTCTATTTGAGACAAAATTAGGCATACTGTAAGAAAAGAACATGTTTAGAATAAACAATTTAAAAAAATTGCTTTTCTTATACTTTGAAAAAAATAGGCAAAAAAGAACCAACGGAATGCGCATCACCAGCAGACTTTGAAAATGTGTTGGCAGGTTCATAACTAAAAGACCGATTGAAGATGACAAATATTTCACTTTATGCTATTGTCACTGTTAAAATAAACAGAAACAGAAACATTAAAATTCATTTTTCTTACAGTAAGTTCATTATTCATATTTAAAGTTTTTCTTAAATTTTTTTTCCATTATCCTCTTTTTTAATGTTAATCCTTACTTTTCTTTTGCCAAGAAGAATTTAGGAAGTTTAGCTGGTTTTATCTTGTTCTTGGATTCCTTGAACACATCATTCATTGGAGGTACAAGAACATCTGCTGAACTAGGAATGAATTATATTAATTTAAGGGACTGTTAAATTTATACAAACTGGGGTTGTGGTAACGACAAATTACTGCATATGTTCATACGCTTCCATATTTAATCTATTTACATTTTGAGTTTATCACCAAGTTGAAATTTACTTTTGAATAATCATCTTTTCTTCTTGATGGAAAGCCTACAAATTAATTAAAGGGAATGTAGACATGATTTTAAGTAACACTCGACTCTAATAAAATTCTTTAAATTTTTCTTCCTTGTCGCTGTTGCTTGCAGGGGTGTACGAGAGCATTTGTGTAGGAAGGGGTACTTTTTGTAAAAAAAAATTCGTGCCCCCTTAAACCCCTTTTTTGAAAAAATAACCTTTTTAACTATGTAAACTATTCGACAATATACACACTTCCATATAACAAGCGTTAATAAATTATTTATTTAATTTTCTTAATTGAACTCATCAGACACTTCCTAATACTGTGGTGCAAGCTTCAAAGGGTGAAAAATAGAGATGGAAACGATTCTTAAAAAATATCTATATGTTCACAGAAACGATACATATTGTATAATTATAAATAATGATATCAAAGATATATTTACACTGAAGGCAGTATTGATAAAAGATTTTTTAGTTAAGGGCAAAAGTGATATTTTTAAGTATTTATTAAATAGGTTCCCCCCTTCAGGGGCGGCACGCATAGGGGGGGGGGCGGGGGTCCGCGCCCCTTGTACGCCCCTGGTTGCTTGCAATAACCTGCAATTCACTGATAGAGCCCATGCAATTGATAACTATCAAATTTCAGGATTGCATTGAGTATAAAAAATTATAAAATAAACTAACCTGTTGTTCTCTATATCCTGCTGCTGCTGGATACAATCTAGTTTAAACATGAGATCTCCTTCATCCTTCAATCCTTCTCGTTTCTCTAACTGTAGCGGATCCTGTAGGATTAAGATTAATTGAAGGATCAACACCTAGCAGTAATCCATCATTACTATTTTTAAACAAAATTATTCAACACTTTACCGAGAATGAGGGTGCACAGCCGCCATACACCCCTGTTTTTTAAACCAATGGATTTGCAGACAGACAACCGAATTCCGCCTGTATCAACATACGAACCCTCCAGTCTGACGATTAGTGTTAACAGATTTCATTCAGATGAACTATTGACTGAAAAATACCTTTAACTAAACTGCAGTTTTACATAAAGGTTAAATTTATTTTTATCATTTAACATTTTGAAGTTTTACTGATTGAACTTTTAACTAAAATCAAATCAAACAACTTTATATTTTCGATGAAAATTTTAGAATTGTTATTTTATTATAGGATCCAGAAAACTGTCCATATCATTCTTCGAATCCGGTAGTTCGGATTTTAAAATGCGGGGTTAATGGCGGCTCTGCAACCCCTCTCTCCCTTACCACTGTAGATCCAATTTTAAAACCTACATCTAAGTGAAGGCTCAACACAACTCCTGAAATATTGAGTTGAAGTTCATTTTCTTCATCCATCTTCAGATCCCACTGAAATGAAGCAGATTAGTCAAAAGCACTTTTTTGGTCGCTCACATTTTTGTGTACAATGAGGCCCATAAAACTGTGGAGGAAGACGACTGTTTAACTCATATTTATAAACAGTCCAATGGACATCAAACAACGGCAATTTTACAGCGTACACACTACACAGGCCCAATTTTACAGCGTACACACTACACAGCGTACACACTACACAGGCCCAATTTTACAGCGTGCACACTACACAGGCCCAATTTTACAGCGTACACACTACACAGGCCCAATTTTACAGCGTACACACTACACAGGCCCAATTTTACAGCGTACACACTACACAGGCCCAATTTTTCACCAATTATCAAGCTACTAGACAGATTGCTTCAATGTCGTCATCCTAGTCCTCAATTTTACGGGTCTTAATGTACTTAATAGGGTTCGGCATCAATGCTTTCGGGGCAATCATCATTCTCATTTCCTTGAAAGACAATATGGGCAGTTAATTTTAAAATTAGATTGAATACAGCAAAGCCAAACTTTAAACATTTAATTCTATTTTGAAAACTTCAATTATTTAATATTTCAGAATTAATTTTCTAAGCTTCGGGGAAAACGCCAAAAATGGGTTACAATACAACTTTAAAATGTGTTTATTATCCCTCACGAAATATCATTTTCCTTCATAAATTGCTGAGGAAAAAATGTTTTCGTGGATAAGGGGGATTAAAGGATAAACACTAGCTGTTTAAATATTAAATCTACCTGTAGACTGGAGACTAGACAGGGTCTCAGTTTTCTTAGTTTAAAACACATTGAGCTGAACAGATGCTGAGCTGCTAAACCCAGATCCCTAGAAATAGTGTTTTAGGTATTTTTTATCATTCCGAGTATATATTTCATTAATGGGGAGGATAAAGGTTGAGTAGGAATACATATTAAAGTCTTTTTTCCGTTGTATACATTACTAAATGTTGAGTAGGTATTAGATACATATTCCTACCTGGAGTTGAGGTCTGTTTTTCCTAGTATACTTGAGTAAAGAAGGAGTAGGTACATATTCATACCTGGAGTTCAAGGTCTGTTTTTCTGTATACTTGAGTAAAGGTGGAGTATGTACATATTCATACCCGGAATTTAAGATCTGTTTCCCTGTATACTTCAGTAATGGTCGAGTAGGTAAATATTCCTACCAGGAGTTTAAGATCTCTTTTCCCTGTATACTTGAGTAAAGGTTAAGTAGGTACATATTCATACCTGGAGTTTGTCTGTCTTACCCTGTATACTTGAGTAAAGGTGAAGTAGGTACATATTCCTACCAGGAGTTCAAGGTCTGTTTTCCCTGTATACCTGAGTAAAGATGGAGTAGGTACATATTCCTACCTGGAGTTTAGGTATGTTTCCCCTGCATACTTGAGTAAAGATGGAGTAGGTACATATTCCTACCTGGAATTCCAGGTCTGTTTCCTCTGTATACTTGAGTAAAGGTTGAGTAGGCACATATTCCTACCTGGAGTTTAGGGTCTGTTTTCCCTGTATACTTGAGTAAAGGTGGAGTAGGTACATATTCCTACCTGGAGTTTAGGGTCTGTTTTCCCTGTATACTTGAATAAAGGTGGAGTAGGTACATATTCCTACCTGGAGTTTAGGGTCTGTTTTCCCTGTATACTTAAGTAAAGGTGGAGTAGGTACATTTCCTGCCTGGAGTTTAGGGTCTGTTTTCCCTGTATACTTAAGTACAGGTGGAGTAGGTACATATTCCTACCTGGAGTTTAGGGTCTGTTTCCCTCTGTATACTTGAGTAAAGGTTTGACAGTAGGATACTGGCTGGCTGATATTTACTCCAATTGGAGTTTTGACTGTTATTACCTAGAAAATACAAGTAATTTTTGAATTATCTTTTCCGAAAAAAAGATAAATGTGGGTTTCATGATTCAAATAATTTGAATAAAAAAGAAAAAATAGTAAATTCGACTGATTTTGAACCTTGGGAAGTCAATATCTTGTTGCCATGACACGTTTGAAACGACAACTCCTGAATTTCCAGCTGTTCTATCCGTAAAGCAGTAGTATCATTTACGTATGTACCTGCATCCCTTGTGGAGGTTTTATATCTAGGAGGCCATCCACTATGTCCGCATCCTCCGAATCATCAACCTCGAGGACACAGGTCTCCTGAGATATCATGAATGAATTATTAGTTGATATCTTGACCTTCACAAATATTTACGACGTGACTCACAGTGTTCACTTCATTCAATGCTTCACAGAGTTCTTGCTAAGATCTTGATTTTTTCACTGGAATTTACCAAAGCTTTAGCGAGTTCGATTTTAGAAAAGCAATATAATAAAACGTTAATTTGTAATTACTCCAAAATCTTTATATGGATTAAAGTTTAAAATGTTTGCACTATTTATTCTATCGTTAAAAAATTGAAGGGTAAATTGAAAAGTTCGTTAACAGCTTGCCTCAGGAATTTGTCTAGGGGGGCTTAATTTTGTTTTTCTTTCCAGGGGGACTCAGCACCCGTTGGGGCCTGAAAACCCCCAGAAATCAATAGATTTCACTGGTGGGGGGGGGGGCTTAGCCTCCAAAAGCCCCCCCTGAATACTCAGCACACAGCTCATAACAGAGTTAAGTCATTAGAAGTTGAACTGACGGGAGCTGAAACCAAATTCGAGGATACGAAAACAATTCAGTTTATCGCGAGCGTCCGATTTGTTCAGTTAAATAAATGTCATATTAATCACGTGTTTTTTTCCGAAATAAGAAGCACAAGAAAAGAGACTCATTATTTTTTACTCCAACCTTGTTTCCATTTGTGAGTTCCATATCTAGTCCAATATCCTCTAGTTCTAGTACACTGTCCTCCTTATCCTTTACGTCCTCTATACCGTAGTACTTCTACATCGAGTACATAGTCAATAAAATATTTAACAAGGAAACCTACTAGGTTTGTGTATACTTGAAGTGTACTAATGGTTCTAGGAGGAATATAATCAAAATTGTTTAACTTGGAATATAAATTTTACAATGCACATAGTATTGTTATACTATAAACGAACGAAATTCAACCACTACAGTATAAAAAGTCGCATATTCCTGCGTTTTGAATGCATTTTTGACGACAATTATGTATCATTTTTCAATTCCTCAATTCCTCAATTATATAATTATTTTAAAAAATAAACCTTATTCGCCTGAACTCTCTCTATGAGCCTAGACTGCACTTTATTCAGTTGATTCTATTCAAAATAATCATCAGATAATATTCAGAAAAATCGTAAAAAATATTCAGTATTTTTCATCTAATTTTGAATTTATACATTAAAACAATTATTTTTTTCTTAACTTTTCAATTTTTTAATTCTTTAAAAAATGATTTTTTATAAACAAAGTTATAAAGTTTATTGAAAATCCCCCACCCCCTAGTAAAGACTATCAACTCCGTTTATTCCATGATTCGTCAAACTAGAAACATTAACCAACTCACTTTTCTAATATCGTAAACAGAAACAAACTACATAAACCAAAAATGAGGGAAAATAGAAAAACTTTTAAAACAATTTTCGTCGGCTAGATCAGTTTTTCATTTTTACCTTCTTAAAACTTCAAAAATCTTGGATACGAATATGAAAACGAATAATGATAACTTGATAAATAATTTGTTTCAGAAGAATTTGTAAAATCTTTCATTTATCTGAATGATTTCCTGATCAGTGAACATATTCGAACTTGAGGTTATCTTGGGTAGTGAGGGAGCAGGGAGAGCAGCTGAAATTATTATCAATATATACAGAGTGTAGAGACTAACATAACTATATATCTTGTTAGTCTAAGGTTAGTACTATTATAAACGGAGAACCCTGCGTTCCATGAAGTAGGGGTCGGCGCTCCTACCAAGGAAACGTGTCTAAGATAATGTGAACCAGTGTTAACATTCCATGATGTTCAAGGCAGACCGTCATCAGCTTGACTACCATCCATGATTTTACACTCATATATGAATTTATTCACTAGAACATAAACGGTGGCTCAAACCTAATTTATAAGAATTGAGTTTTTAACTGCAACCAGTGTTAATATTATCACTTTGGCAACAGTATTTTCTTAATGTACGTAAGCTCTACCTAACAAAGTGTACAATAGAGTATTTACTCTAACATTATTTTCTTAATGTACGTAAACTTTACCTAAAGAAAGTGTACACCAGAGTAAATATTTAATCATTATTTTCTAAATGTACGTACTGTACCTTAATAAAGTGTACTGCACCAGCGTATATATTTGATCATTATTTTCTTAATGTACGTACACTGTACCTTAATAAAGTGTACACCAGAGTATATATTTGATAATTATTTTCTCAATGTACGTACACTAAATCTAGATAAAGTATTCACCAGAATATACTGGTAGGACAGAGAGGAAAGAGAAAAATTATCAAGAGACAAAAAATGTTCCAGGGACACAACCATGTTCAGACAGCCAGTCAGCAAGGAGGGACAAGGAAACGAGTGCGGCCAGCGGAATCGGAGACTGTCAGTCCCCCATCAACCCGTCCTCACCAGAAGCAAAGATACTAAAGATAATATACTTAAATGCCCGTAGTTTAATTAGTAAACTGGATCACTTAGATGTTTTAATAAATGACGAAAACCCTGATATTATTTTACTCACTGAGAAGTGGTGCAATCCAGAAATATCTGATGCTATGCTGTACAAAGAAAACTACTTTATCGAACCTAGTCTACGTATTGACAGAGCTGATACAGCCCATGGGATAGGCGGAGGTCTACTGGTATATGTAAAAAATGGAATGATTATTACATCTGAGCAGGATTTTTCTAAGTTTAACCAATTCTGTAGGTTTAGTGTAACTGAAAACACTAACACTAAATATTTTGCTGATATACAGATCCCCAAACTCATCTGAAGAAAATAATAACCAACTTTGTAACATAATCCAAGAGGTTCCGGAAAATACTATCATAATTGGAGATTTTAACTATCCAAAAATTAACTGGCAAGGAGTCTCCAATGATAGAAAGAGTGAAAATTTTGTTGAATGTGTCCATGCAAAGAATCTTGAACAAATGGTGGAATTCCCTACACATATCAGAGGTAATCTTCTAGATTTAGTCTTAACAAATGCTCCTGAAAATATACTGTCCGTGGAAGGATTAGGGAACCTGGGTAATAGTGATCATACTATTATATGTGTTGAAGTTGATTTTTGTCCAAAATTCAAGGAATCAAACGAACTGGTGCTTGACTGGTTTAATAGTGACACTGAAGGCTTGAAGGAATTCTACTGTAATATTAACTGGAAGGAAATACTTGAAGAAAATAATGCTGAGGAAGCTTGGGAAGTCCTAAAGACAAAAATTGATGTGGGGGGAATTGAGAAATTTATACCCAAAAAGCAAAGAGTAAGCAGAAATAAACCCCAATGGATGACAAAGAATGTTGTAAAATTGTGCAGAAAAAAGAGAAGATTTTATAACCGTTATCAAAATACTCGTACACAGGACGACTTAGAACAGTTTAAGAATATTGAAAAAGAATGCAAGAAAGCCGTTCGTTCTGCCAAGCGTAAGTTCGAGAAAAAAATTGCTGAGAGTGGGAACAAAAGACCCTTTTATGCATACCTGAAAAATAAAACAAAAACAAGATCAAATGTGGGTCCACTCAAACTAAACAATGTCCTAACAAGTGATGATGAACAAGTTGCCAAAATACTTAATGAGTATTTCTGCAGTGTTTTCACAAAAGAAGATGAAACTCATATACCAAACTGCAATATTACCCCACCAATTTCAACAATAGAAGATATAGTTATCACTGAGGACATGGTAAAAGATAAAATCAAAAAACTTAAACCTCATAGTGCCAGCATCACACCTAGACTATTAATAGACAACATGGACTCACTTGCCATCCCCCTTTGCATCATTTACAGAAAATCAATGAGCTCTGCACTGGTGCCTATTGACTGGAGAACAGCAAATGTCACCCCAATCTTTAAAAAGGGTGCTAAAACTAAAGCAGAAAATTATAGGCCGGTCTCTCTAACTTCAATACCTTGTAAAATGTTCGAATCTATTATCAAGGACCAATTAATAAATCATCTTCTGGAAAATCACCTGATAAAAAATACTCAGCATGGATTTCTCAGCAATAAATCTGTTACCACAAATCTCTTAGAATTCCTTGAAAAAATTACTGAGATGTTTGATAACAACAAGCCTTTAGATATAATATACCTGGACTTCGCCAAAGCTTTTGATAAAGTGATGAAACAAAAACTAAATAAAAAGTTAGAGGCCCATGGAGTTAAAGGAAATGTACTCAAGTGGATCCACAACTGGCTCACTGGAAGAAAACAACGAGTTGTTCTAAATGGATCGCTTCTTGGCCCACTTGCATTCATTGTTTTTATCAATTATATTGAAGGTTGCACGGATAACCATATGATAATTAGTAAATTTGCCGACGACACAAAACTGAGTCATCAACAGGAAGATCATCATCATATTCAGGAAGCACTTGATAAACTGGTGGTCTGGGCAGACACTTGGGGCATGGCTTTCAACACAGCCAAGTGCAAGGTTCTTCACATAGGGAGAAACAACACTGAGCATGTCTACAACATGAGGGGGGCATAATCTCACAGTTGTTGATCATGAAACTGATCTTGGAACCCAAAAAACTTGCGACCTGGACTACAATGTAAAGAGGCAGCAAAAAAAGCCAGAATTGTTCTTGGCCAGATCACACGGGCTTACACCTGTAGAGACAGGCATATTTTTGTGAGACTCTACACAATATATTAGGCCACATCTAGAATTTGCAGTTCCTGTCTGGACACCCTGGACTCAAGGTGATATAGAACTCTTAGAAAAGATACAGATAAGAATGGTAGGGATGGTTTCCGGTCTGAAAGGGAGGAACTATCAAGAAAAACTTAAGGAGCTAGGTCTGCAAACCCTTGAAACCAGACGGAGAAGATTTGATATGATCCAAACATTTAAGATTCTCAAGGGGTTTGACCGTGTCGATAGCAGTATATGGTTTGAAACTGTTGGGAATGAGCCTTCAAGACGAACAAGACAATCTGCTTATCATTTGAACCTAGTTAGGAGGCAAGCAAGGACTGAAATAAGGAGCAACTTCTTCTCAAACAGGGTTATTGAACCCTGGAATAGATTGCCAACTGAACTGAAAGAGAGCAAGACTGTAAAATCATTCAAGGATGGATTGGACACTATCATTTAAACCAAAGATGCTATATAGGACCACACTGTAGCTCCTGTTATAATCCTACCTGGATTGGACACCATCATTTAAACCAAAGATGCTATATAGGACCACACTGTAGCTCCTGTTATAATCCTACCTGGATTTCTAGGAGTCAACATAGAAGTAAGTAAGTAAGAAGTAAGATTTAATCATTATTTTCTTAGTGTATATACACTGTACCTAAATAAAGTATTCACCAGAATAATTATCTTTATAATAATAATAATATTTAATCATTATTTTCTTAGTGTATGTACACTGTACCTAAATAAAGTATTCACCAGAGAATATATTTAATCATTGTTTTCTTAGTGTATGTACATTGTACACTGTACCTAAATAAAGTATTCACCCGAATATATTTAATCATTATTTTCTTAGTGTATGTACACTGTACCTAAATAAAGTATTCACCAGAGTATATATTCAAACATTATTTTCTCTATGTACGTAAACTGTACCAGGGTATAAAATAAATAATTAGTATGTACAATTGTACACTTTTTACCTAGATACACTGCTGTACCAGTAGCAATGGCAACTATAGTTCTCTCACTTAAAGCCAGATTTATCTAGAACAATATTTTTGTGTAAACTTGTTTAATGATAAATCAAGAATCTTCGTTTTTTTCATGAAAATAAAAACAACAAATTTTCAACATCTACAATTTGACAAGGCATATGAAAAAAGCTGTTATTTAAAAAAGCATTTTTGATCAGTAAATTTAACACCCATCAATTCGTAGAAATAAGTAAAATATTAAATAGTAAATTGTTAATTAATCATTTAGAATTCTTAATATTTAAAGGGAACTGAGAACTTAAATTTAAAGGTGCATATTATATAGTGACACAGCTTACGTCACAGTTCCTTTAAAACAATGAAAGATACCCACATGAGTTAATCCGCTCCAACCATTTGAAAATATGACTGTATAAGAATATCGTATTATCATAAAGCTTACCTCTAAACCAAAGATAGAATTCATGCCTGTAACCTAGAATAAAATCACGTAATATAAAAAAATTATAAGGAGGGTTTTTGGGTGAAAATTTATCATCATTTTTATTTTCCTATAGAATTTAACATAAAAGACCGGATTTGCACAACGTAAAATATCTAACGATTATTTCTAAATGAAATCTTCTCTTCTCCGAAGTAATGAACAAAAATGGTTCTATCTTCTTATTGATCTCACATAAAAATAAACCTAAACTAACCTTAAGTTTATTAACTATCTGTCTATGTATCTCGTATTCAAGGAAAGGAAGAGCATCGGATACTTCTCTAGATAATTCAGGTTTAAAGAGACTGATTTCTGATGACCCTGGATTTGAAGATGTGAACCCAAATCACAACAATACCCGTTAACCCTTTTGCCAGAGTAAAAATAATGAGAAAATTCATGAGAAAAATAACATTTTTTACTTGCAGTTTCTTTGTCAAAGAGACTAGCGGATTTGTTCAAACAAGGATGAAAAGTGACAGAATTTAGGAAAACGTTGTCATTTTCTTAATTTTTAATCAGATTAAGGTTTAAAAGGCATCCACCGTTGAGAATCAGGTCCAACATAAAAATTTAAAAAAGCAATTAAAAACTGCTTAGTTTAAATACCTGGCATTGTTTTCATTTTTTAAATCCTTTTTTAACTTGAGAACTCGAGCTTGTAGCATCCCTCCTCGTCCTGATATCTCAAGCTGAACAAGTAGAATGTATTTTTCAATTTTAATATTTGAAACAATTGACATTAAAATAAATGAAAACTAAGAATCTAAAAAGTTAATTTTATTTAAGGGGCGACTTTTGAATATGAAAAATGTTAGTTTTCTGCAGAAGAAGCAAAATTTGGGAGTCTCCGATAAGATGGCCGTGGGTTCTCCGATAGTAATCAAATAATATTGATTTTTTTCTCAGACTCAGATTTTTTCTTTCCTATAGATTGCTTCCATTTTCATTTAGAAAAATGTATTTTTATGTGAAAAAATGCTTAAGCTATATTATATATTATTCGAAATGCCCGGCGTTGCCCGTGGAATTAAACAAAAATTGAATTTTGAAGAAAAACACGATTTTTGAAAAAAAAACATGATTTTTGAAGAAAAAATGTCGAATGTTACACTTCAGACACCCATGGGTTCCCTCAAAAAATATCAGCACAGAGCTAACAAATAAATATACAAATATATATGAGAAAAGAGCTTTCTTATATAGATATTGTCTAGGAAACGATAAATGTTTTTATAAAAAATATATTTGGACCAATTTAATATTTGGAATTTGAACCGAATTGGTCTGTCAAGATAAAACTGATAAATGTTGTTTATCTAAAAAGAAATAAAAAAAAATAATTTTTCACAAATGAATAAGAAAAAAAGGAGAATAAAAAGTTCTTCCTTTCCCGAACCTTCCTCTAAATTCTTATTTTATTCAGATTGAGTCTAGATACATATATATTACTGTAATATTGGCTTCTAGGATCTCTTGAAAACTTCATTTCAAAGTTTTCCCGACCCTTTCATTGATTTCCTATTAAGAATACTAATATTAGTATTAATAATCACGAGAAAGAGAAGGGTCAGCGGCGCGTATAGGGAGGGAAAGGGTGCAGAGGTGCCATGAGCCCCGCAAAAATGACCTCCAAGCCTCCAGACTTTCAGAATGACCTCCAGGTCCCTCGAAACCGTCTCCGTACCTCTCGCTAAGTCTCCGAGCCTCTGCCATTTTGTCTCCATGCTCCGCATTTTGATCTTCGCTTGCTGTTTTTATTTTTTGTTTACCTTTATTGACTTAGCCAACCAAAAATCAAAATATATTTCTTCTTGATCCCAAGTTGTTTTATGTAAAAAGTTTACATAAAGCTAGTATGCGTAAAAGACAACCTTTGTAAACGACCTTAATACCTTTGAAGACCTCTTTATTTGAAGATTAAATCAATTCTATCGAGCCCTTAACATTATATTTGATAAAAAAAATTAATGAGCGTCCGTTCTATAGTATACTAGTTTTTGCGCCCCCTTCCTCCTCTGTGTATCATTTTTTTTATTGTCCTAATTAGTAATTACCCTGATTTTAACTATTCTCAGCCAACGAGGTTATAGTGTATTGAGTGATGATGTGCGCTAATTCTTTACTAATTGTATAGGCCATGAACTATACCGAGAGCGTACTGCATATTTGTTTATTATAAGGAGATTCTGGCCTAACCTATAGTTTATCATTATTAGTAAACATTTGTAAGTGTACAGTTCAGCTAACTCAGCACACAAGTAGGAAACTATCATCCCAATTTAATAGAATGTAAAACTTAAGCACAGGACACAAAGCTACACTGTCCTGTTATTATAGCATATTATAGATATAATTAGACTATTTAAAAAACATAGTTCTTCAATGTTTTCTAAAGCATACAATAAAAGTACAAATTTAGAAAAACAAAAATAAAACCTTTAATCTCAATTAATATGAACTTTTAAATACAAATTGTTAATGTATCATTATAAACTATTTTATCATGTTGAGATTTTTTAAAAAAAAAAGGTTTTTGGTGGATGTAAAAACCAAATATTTTTTATTGGAGACCAAAATGTGGGGCGTGGAGACTGAATGGCGGAGGCTTGGAGACGTTAGCGAGAGGCACGGAGACAGTTTCATGGGGCCTGAAGGTTCTTCTGGAAATCTGGAGGCTTAACGGTCATTTTTCCGGGGCACATGGCGCCTCTGCACCCCTCCCTCGTACAGGGAGGGTGGCTATGCCCCTACCCCTTGGAAAAAAATACACCCCCCCCAGATAAATTCCTGGTTAAAGATTTTCTCTCACAAACTTCTGAACTTGTAATCAAAATCAGACTTTTAGGGACACCCTTTGACCACATCGCAATCCCACCATGACTATACTGAGCTGGGATTGAAATTTTAAAATTAACATCGACTGAAAGAAAATAGAAGATGAAATTTGAATGTTGGTGAATATTAGAGAATAACTAGTAGTTTGGTAACTATGTAATGTAAAAGAAGAGGTTGTAAAAAATTATATTTTTATAAAACATCGAAAATTTCTGAACGTAGAATAGCTGAAACAAGAGGCTATGTAGATGGCTGTCCTAAAAACATTTAGACCAAAATTTACAGAAAATAATTATTTATTTATGACAAAATGTTCTTAATTTTATTCATTACGAAACTTTTGGATATAAATGTTGGGAGGGGGNGAGTGTTATCAAAGATTAAATTTCCTGTGGTAATTTCAAGCAACATAAATCTTGAATGGTCTTCAGTCTTCACATAATAATTCAGAGGGTTAAATTATTCCTCTCATATCTGTTAAAACTTTTTACGCTAATTGCAAAGGGTTCAAAAGTAAATTAGTTCCTATTAAAAAAATTATTTGTTCCAAAAAAATCAATTCAAATTAAAACCATTTGTTTGTAATTAATAAACTTGATTTAAATTAGTTCGGATTTAAATGAAATTTTGATTTATTTATTGAGCAATGTTTTAAAAATAGAACTAATCTGAATTATTTAAACAGCAAATCATTAAATAAGGTCTTGCATATACCTCACTGCAGGCAACTAAAGGGATAATGTTTCTAAACTGGGTCTGCTTAACTTTTTAAAAAAACGTTTATAAAGTCTTGATAGTTTCTGGTTGTATTCCAAATAAACAATATAAATTCAGCAATTTCTTTGTAATAAAAAAGTTATTTATTTTACAAACAGTTTCACAATAATTGTGATTTTTTTCTAACTCTTACCTCAAATCTCCTTTTTATAACACAAGTAATTGAATATTATGCGGAGGTTTTATAGGTTAGATTATATAAATAAGCTAAACTATTAGAAAAATAAGATCAAAAACTAAATAAACAAGAGAAAGGAAAGCAAAAATAAATATCTTTTAGTAAATAAAAAATATAAAAATACTTGCTTATAATGCCAAGTTAATAAATCCCTGTAATAACGGTTCTGTAGACAATATTTCCACAGTAATCCCTTCGTCATGAAACAATTAATGTCAAAACTTTATTTGCATGGTGTTATGAGAAGGGGGGGGGCATAGTTTAGTGGATTGCATAATTTTGGGAATATTTTTGTCCGAGGGGGGTAATTTAGTTAAGTTGCATAGTGGTCAGAACATTGTTGCAGGGGGAGGGTGGNCATTACATTGTTCTGTATAGAAGAAAACATTACATCGTCCTGTATAGAAGAAAACATTACATCGTCCTGTATAGAAGAAAACATTACATCGTCCTGTATAGAAGAAAACATTTTGTTCTGTATAGAAGAAAACATTACATCGTCCTGTATAGAAGAAAACATGACATCGTCCTTTATAGAAGAAAACATTACATCGTCCTGTATAGAAGAAACATTAGATCGTCCTGTTTAGAAGAAAACATTAGTATTAAACCAGCTTTTTCGAGAATGAAACTTTAAAGAAATTATACTTAGATGTGCTTCGGTTTGTAAATCAATATTTTAATTAAAAATTTAAATCTGTTTGGTTTGTCAACTTTTTAATATAGAATCTTTCCTACTTTCTAAAAAGGCTTTACATCGGCATGTTTAAGGATATCTAATCGATATAAAGCAATAATTATCAATAATATTTTGGCTTAAAACTCTTAACTAAGTGAATTAAGAAAAACATGTCAGTTTAAGAAAGTTTGATATAAATATATGCAATCAACCAGAACAAAATTTTTTTATCAAAAATCAAACTTTTTTAGGTTAATGGTACGTTTTCAAAAATATGAAGAAAAATTTTTTTTTCTGAAACCCCTAGGCTTAGTCGCCAATATAATTCACCAAAACCATACTGCAGTCCTTCAATTATCATACAGGGAAATTTTCATCTTTCTAAACATCACAGGGAAAGATTTGACAAGTTCTTTTGAGTTTATGGCCATTCCTACCTAGTTTAATCGGGAAAGGAACACTGGATTCTAGGTAAGGTATATGGCAGAGATGACATTCTCCCTGAAATATCAAAAATCATCTTTATATTTTATTAATCTGTTAATTCATATTACTTTACTGCATTAATTCAAATTTACTCTTTTCGTTGCATTATTGTGATCTTAAGACTAAGAAGAAATAGATGAAATAAATGACTGAAATGTTTGAATAACTTTCAAAAATTTCATTCCTAATCTGTACATTTCAGTGTATAGTCATTTTGTTTTGGAAAATAAATTATTTATTTCATCAAACTGATTATAAAAATACAAAATGTTTCTGATAAAATATGTTTCACCTGATATTTGTTTTCAAGACCGGCTTCCACAGAAGAATCTGCATCTCCTACCATACTATAATATCAAGGTAATAATAATGATTATGTTAATGATAATAACATTTTGTTTATGCAATACTAATACTAATACTAATACTAATACTAAAACTAATACTAATACTAATACTAATACTAAAACTAATACTAATAATTCTAATAATACTAATAATACTAATAATACTAATAATACTAATAATACTAATAAAAATAATAATGATAATAATGAGTGATATTGTATAAAATGATATTAAATATAAGCAATAAGAATGATTTTAAATTCTCAGTTAAACAGCACCTTTTGGAAAGATTAGAAAATTTCGTTTGTAATAAACTTTTCTGCTACACCTTTTCTACTCTCTAAATCTTAAGGGTTAAAAAATTGTGAATCAATTGTTCTTATTCACCCTGATATCTTCTGGAATTTGTTGAGTAAATTTTGGTGTACAGATTGTAAAGGGTGTGGGTTTTATATTTATGTATTAACGATCTCAGCATCTTTACTCATTTATAAAGTATTCCAGTTAATGATATATTCTGAAATCATATTTGATTTGATTGATTTGATTGAAACTGTTCAAATACTTTCTAAATACGGAGTAAAAATATGTTTTTAGGATTTAAAAAAGAAAGTAATATTTTATAAAATATTCTCCCTGAAAATCTAATTAATTGATAACACTGAATAATAAGTCTACCCATCTGGCTTTCTTCAATGAATTGCAGTTTACAGCATTCAATAAAATCATCAATATTGGAATATTGCTGAATGTACCTAAAGTACAGAGAATAATTACTTAAAAGGTTGAAAGACATTTTCCACCCATTGGACAATGTAAAAATAAGCACATCTAATTTTCACAATATTATTAATAATATAATCTTGATGATATATGATTTAAATGATGGTTAAAAAAAATAAAGTAGTTTCAGGGCCGGACTGCGCTATAGAATCTGAGACAATATTGTTTTTATGTATTTCTAGGAAAACTATTGGTTTGACGTAGGCTCTAGGACAGTAGATATCCTGGCATGCATATTATATANGACTACCTTTAAATAAGTTTAGTAAATTGAACTTCCCTTAATTTCTTTTATAATAACTGTAGATTTGTTTTAATAATATGTTCAAAAATAATGACACAAATTTTTTATGTTCAATCTTCATACTCGGGTAATAAGTAATGAAAGTTCTTCATAAGTTTTTAATATTTTCGTTATTAATAAAAAGTCCGAATGCAAAGTAAGTGATGATTTAAATTAGACTTTGATCTGGTCTTTCTAAGTTCTCCAAAAACATATATCCTTACATATCAAATTGGATGACTTGGATTTTTTTGCAATATTTTTCAATTTAAACTCAAAGCAAAATTAATTCTAAGAAGGAGAAAAAAAAACTGTTAGTGTTAAAAGTGTTCACTCCCTGTACTATAAGTACAGGGCTGAACACTTGTTCATTATATTTACCTTATATTAGAAACAGCCCCTGTTCCTGATCCGCTTAGAATAATGACGTCATCACTAAACAAAATAAAATTATCCTACGTACTGATGTCAACCAATTTCTTAAAAACATATTTTCATGCGTCAATTTCAAAATGGTTATTTTCAATTGTGGTTTCCCTATAAAGCCACAGGCGGACATATGCTCTAGAAACAATGAAAAATATTGTTAAAGTTAAACACTGTTCAGGATAAATATTATATCTACAACATTATTTATCAGAAAAACGTTTAAAGGGCATTCTTGTGAATCGTAAATGGCCCTTTTTGAAATGTCACTTAAAATTACAAAGACAGTCCCATTAGGAAAAACTTTACTGGGCAAATGTCTATATTTACCATATCACTGATCTTTCTTGGTATCCAACTATAACATTACATCCAAGAGCTTGTGCGTGGGACCTAATCTGAAACAAAAATAAATTTTGAAATTAAAAAGTCTTGTTAATCTAGATTCTTGTTTACCTCTTGTCTTATCTCAGTCCACCAGGCTTCCCTAGTGTCTCCATCTTCTCTATCATCCAGCTCCTCCAGCAACTAATAACAATTTAAGAAGCCAAAAGCTTGAACATGAGGTTAAAAACTTAAAGAATATTTTAGGTCTTGGATTACAGCAATTAATGCTAGAGGTTTAAAGCTTTATACAACTATATAAAAAAGCTAAAAACCTCAAAGAAATAAAATGGAATTTTTTCAAAAAATGAAGAAATCGGAATCTAGTGGCCTACAAGAATATATTTAAGCATTAGCCACAAAATTTGATGAACAGCTTGGGTTAACTCATTAAAAAAAACAAGTTGAACTAATATTATGCAGCTGGAATTAAGTAGCTAAATACCTTGACAGATTTAGCGCTGACCATACCCCCAATGTGAGCCAGGAATCCCGGGGGGAAGCTGGTTAGGGTTAGAAAAGGATATTCACACATATCAGCAGTGTTGTTCTTTACCAAGATTACACCTTCTTAGATAAAAATCATAATTTTGGAATTACTTATTTTAAGCCATGATTTAAAAATAAGTGATACAAATAAATATTAAATAATATGAACATAACTCTAAGAATAAATATAATTTGAACTAAGAATGCAATTGGAAAAAGAATGCACAATGCACCATTTTTTAGATTGATTATATTTTGTAATTAACATCAGAAAAAATTGAATTTACAACAGAATTTATTTTTCACAGAATATATTAAAAGTAATATAGGCTGTGAATCAAAAATTTGGAATTTAAGACAATTGTTTAAATAACATTGATTAATGATTTCCAATAAAAAATAGGCAATGATAAGCTTTATCGAAGAAATACAGACCAAACACTGTAAACAGTGAAAATTAACCCTTTTCCATGACATGGTATAAATTCTAGCAATACCTCTAGATCCAATTCATTTGGATGCTAATCTGAATAAAATGCAGATAAAACATGAATGTTTACATGATAACTTGATCATATGTTTTTACTTAACCAAAACTAATATCTTTTTCTTTGACCTTTCTTTGACCTGAGATGGAATTTCATAAACGAGGGAAGCAGTTGAACAAGCCACAGCTGGTTCAATTACTTATCCTGCAAAAAATAACCACTTTTTGATTCTTAAGTTACTGTGGTGCTTCAAAATTCACCAATTTCTATAGTTGACTTTCTCAAATTTCTAACCCAAGATCAATGCTCGGAAACTCAATAACTGAACTCTAGAGTTTAGAAAGGAGCAAAAAGAATCAAAGAAAGGAAGAATAGATGTATTCCTTAATTTGCTGTTTAGAAACTATTCTCTCTGAGCTTCCACTCCCTCCACTCATGCTTGCTCCTGATTCAGAATTTAGAATTTTAACAATTATAATATAGAGGATTCGAAGGTTAGAAAACATGCGGTTTAAATTGTTTAAAAAAACTTCTGCTCTGTTTTTTTTAAAAGAACATTTAAATACAACAAAAACAGTAAAAAGGAAGAAATCAAAATATTATTGGTTTTTTCAGTCTTTTAGTTCACAAGAATAATAAATGATATTCTAAAATCTATATAATATTTTAAACTACACCAAGAAAAAAAGACTTCCAAAGAATCTAAGAATTTTGTATCACAATAACTATTAGATAGATTGTTTTTAAAAAAATAAGTCTTAGAACCAAAAATTAATGTGAGTTTATATTTTTTAGTATCAAACATGCTTTTCTTTTATTTTTAAATTTTATGAGACTGGAGAATTTCCCTCTTTAACGTAGCCAGAAGAACATGTATTAGCTGATGAAAAAGTTGTTTCAGAAGTGAATAAATAAATGATTTTATGATTTTAACGTTTTCATCGATAACCCACAGAATTCATGAAAGGGATAAATTGTTTTAAGCGTCTTTATTCAAGTCTTTTCTTGGATTTTTACAACTCTAATCTATGTACAGAGCTGGGAACTTTTGAATGGTGGATATCGGGATTCAGGCTTAATCCACTCTTTTTCTTAATCTCCAGATTAACATAATCTTGCAAGATTATCTTATAAGTGTATGAAAAACGATAAAATTCAAATTAATATTTAATCATCTGAGAAACTGAAGCAGCCAATCAGAGAAAAGGGGGCAACCAATGAGAGAACAGAAATATTCTCATTGGAGAAAACAATTAACAGATATCCAAGGAGAGAGAAAAAGAGTGGATTAAGGACTAAAATGAAAAGTTTCCACAGTGGATATTCGGATCAAGAAGTCAGGATTAAAGTTTATCCATTCTAAAGTTTTCAGCTCAGGTTGGATCTACCTATATCAGTTTCCAACATTTTGCTATAAATAATAGTCTCTCTGGGAGGTTTGAGTGCAGCTGGTGTCCATATTGTGCTGTTGAGGGTCCCCTGGGTCATGTTTTGGGGTGGTCCTGTGGTCAGGGAGGGGGATTGCACCAGAGGCTGGGTTGTACTCAAACTTGAGTTTAAAATAGAACCATTGGCTGGAGGGGATTCTAACCAAGCCTCTCCTTTCCCCTCAGGATATAAAGGAACCCTACTCAAATAATCAATATGAATCTCAAAAACATGAGTATTGAGTAGACATGGGGTCTTTAAATATTGACACTCTATAAGATCTTTTGGATATCTAAACCATCAAGGGAAATTCCATACATGTATATCAGAGTGGGTTGATTATTCACTTTTTACTGCCCTAGAGCTTATTTACCCCTACAAATTCTACAAACTTTACAAAAAAATAATCAAAATTTTTTAAATGCCAAGCTGGGATCTATTTTAAGAAAAAAAGGATCATAAAACCCAAGTAATACTGAGAAAAAAAATTCTTCACAATATATCTATATGAGTATCATAAGATCCATCTTAAAACATTCAGTTTGGAAGAGTTTAATTCACTGGGATTTGTTTATTATCAAACCAATTAGAGACAAAAAAAAACTAATCTGTGAATTGCAATTTGGCAAGTAAAAAAGTCGTTTTAAGCGATAAATAAACAATTTTTTAAATATCACAAAAAAAGTGTGGGCTTCATTTAGCTTGAGATCTTTTAATATCCAAATCTATATATCTTAAAGGATTTTTTCGGTCCCACTGGTAACTTTTATATCTATTATTTCCTAGAAATAGATCTTAACTTCCCATTTAAAAATTTTCTTTTTTTTAGAATATTTAGATGGATGTCTACAAGTAAGCCCTAGGCTTGGTTTCAATTCGACCTACCCTAAATTATATTGTACTTTACAATGGGTATAGATGAAAAATTCACTCAGGGTCAACTCTGTTCTCTATATTCTGATACCTTAGAGAACTGTTCATTTACTACAACAGTCAATTGTTTTATAGAATTTTATCTTTTTGATGGTTTATGTTTATTCTTTTGTTAAGAATAACCTTTCATATCCATGCTTCTTTCATTTAGCAATGCAAATAATAAGTCTCAACCTTGCACTTAAAATAATTAATATAATAATTACTTCTCTATGTAGTCTTGCACAAATTAATAATGCTAAAAAATAAATTAAAATTTATCAATGAAGTAAAATTTATAAATATTCTTAAAATCATTCAAAATAAAATCTTTTCTAAAACTACAAAACAAAGGATTATTAGTCTAAAAATATGCTCTAAAATATATATTTCATGTTAATCTATTGCAAGACAATTAACAAATCAGAATTCAAATATGTTAGTTAAAACTCACACAACATACCTTCTTCACTTCCAATTCTAGATATCAAGTTCTCATCTATGCAGAAGGTACCATCTCTGCTTTTCAAAGGGTTTAATTCATTACTGGAGTTGGTCCCGCTGTTCTGACCAACAACTTCACCAAACTCACCAACAAAGTTCACATTATTTTTCTTAGCTGTGTCAAACTTACTATTCAGATTTGCATTTTTCTTAGAGATTTTTACAATATGGTTGTAAACATAATAGTTTTCACTGGTTAATCCTTCCACATTTCTATCATGTTCATCAACAGGATCTACATTATTTAGAATAAGATCATTTTCGGAACATTTATGCATTTCCAAATAGTCACTTTCATTTGAAGAACTTGAAGCAACCTCAATGTTTTCAGACGGAATAGGTCTAAAAACACCTGAGGCATTCTTATTTCTGATGGTGTCCCCTTCGGAAGTAAATTTAGGATTAGAATTATGAACTGTGTTTAAAGCAGTTATCTCCGAGTTTTCTCCTGTATCATGAGTATCTACAGATCTTTTGGAATCATTTGATACTTGTCTTTCTAACAGTAATACTCTATTTAATGTTCCTAAAGTACTATCCTTTAAACTACAATTACCTTCATCCACAATTTGTTCAGAATCCTCAATTTCAACTTTAGCTGAGTCATCATCAATACTCATCAGCCAATTCTCCACAAATTTTGTGTCGGATATTTTGTCAAAATGTTCCAAAAAGTCATTTTGCCCCTTAGGAGCTTCAAGCTCGGGGTTTAGAATTTTTTGAACCCCTTTAATCTTGTCAAGGACTTTTTTAAAACTGTTTTTCTTTTGCTTGGAAGAAATGGGACTAGGTTCAGATGGGGTATCATCTGCTGAATGGTTTCTAACAAGCTTTTTCTTCTTAAGCAGGCGAACAGAAGCCTTTTTATGAATAGAATATTCACTTTTCTGATATCTTTCGGATGATGAGCGAATCACCCTTTTGGCAGTTTTAACTGAACCTGACCACAATGAAGGTGTCTTGAACTCACTACCAGAGGCAAGGCTTATTGGAGCAAATTGTGAGATACCAGAAGTAGAAGCTGTGGGAGTTTTAGAAGAACCCTCAGAATGAATGGAATTATTCCGAGATGACTGAATTTCATAGTCTTGGGCTGGATTCTCACTAAAACCAACCAAGTTTAACTTTCGCACTTTTAAGGCTTGTTCTGCTGTCATGTTAGAGGTATTGAAAACTAAGGTTGGTGGGTTTAGATCAACTGGAGTGGGTGGAATTAAGCGAAGAGATGGGCCTGTAGGTTCTTTACTACAGCTTGCTACAGTGTGCAATCTAGAGGGTTTTAGCAGTGGACTGGATAAGCTGGATACTGACCTGGGTTGGGCACACAAAAAAGTATTTAGTTATTTAATATTGAAATAAAAATTCACCCTGCAAATTGCAATTGAAAAGCTTTTGCTTTTCCTTTATTTTTCTACTAGTTCTTTTACATTTTAAAAGACAAAAACAATTTATATCAAAATTTAATGCATAATAATTTTATTTGTTTTCAAAAATTTTAATTCAGTCTTACACACCAATATATCACCCAAAAAAAATGAAATTTTGGGGATCTCAAAATCTTTTTTAACTAAATGCTATTTTTCATCTGATTTAAAATGATAACTTTTACAACATTAACACTTTTATCTAAAAGAATGGTAATCAAAGATGACCCCNCCTCTCCCTCCGACTGACTTCAGAGCACTATGCCCCTAAAACACGTTCAAGTCATTTTATAATACTTACTCTTTTCCAGCCGAATTTTCTCTTGAGCATCGAGGGGAATTTATACTCTGGTTCATCGCCCCAGGACTTAACTAGACAAAGACATGTTTAGAGTTTGACTAAATAGATTAAAAATGAAGAAATGTTTGTAAATCTGTAATTTCAGTTCAAGGAAAGATAATATCTGTAACTTTTTCTATGATTAAAAATATTTTACTTTTACATCATCAGAACAAAGTACCTTTACCTGGGAGTTAGAACTTTCCCCTTGCTGAACACGAGTTAACGTCACAGCTGTACCTATTCCCTAGACATGGATCAAGGGTAAATTGATTAAAAAAATATTTTCCCAATTTCCTCAATCACATTCGTCTTCTTTCTCAAATAAACACATTTAAAAATGTTAACATTTTTTGCGCAGAGAGACGAACAGAGTTTAAGGTCAATAAATCCTGGCACTTTTTTAAAATACTTTTAGGAAATTCAAGTTGGAGCAACTTTTTAGCCCTTAATATGACTTAATCAGTAAGAGGGAAGGGGGGGGGCAAGTACGTTGTATATTTAATTTCAAATTGGGAAAATAAGATTTTTAGGATGCACTTTCTTCATATATACGTTAAAAAGAGTTTCATTCTCGGTGGTAGGAACATTTCTTATTTTTAAATCTTAAAACACTTACCCTGACAACAATCCCACTTTCCCCTTCTAGATCAAAGAACTGTTTGTATCCAATAACAGCATTTGCTCCCAGTTCAAGAGTTTTCAGTCCTATCTTTCTTCTAACTTCTCCAGACAACTACACAGAGTTACATCAATTATTCAATTAGAACCAAGAAACCCAACCTTGTTGTTTACTCCCTTATTTAATAATGTAAAAGTTAACCCCCCCCCCCCTCGGCCATCCCTGGACCACTTGCACACCTTCATAAATAAAAGCTGTCTAGCTTCATTAGATGCTCGTGGAGTTCTGATCTTATCAATCCATTTATACTCTGGATCATCGTTAGCTACCAGCTCTTCAACAAATCCAGGTAGAAACTGAATCTTGTATCCTTCAGGTACTTCAGCAGCTAAAACAGGAAAAATAATTTTTGTCCGTTGGTTTATTTGGATTCAGTTTATGTTTTAAAGTCCAAACAATGCTTACATGCTATGATGAAAATATTTAGTATTATTGTTTTAAAAACAATTTTAGCTTTTAACTCTTGCTTTTCAAGCTGCCTTTTTTAATCGAACTCCAAATAAGAAAATATTGGAAAAATATTTGTATAGATTTTTATGTTTTTTTTAACCGTAAAAGTTAAAATATTTTTCTAAACAGAAGTTAAAATTTTCTACCGGCCACAAACCTTCCCTAAGTGCATGTGAAGTGCCACACAAAACTTAGGTCCGATAATTTTAGCAGCAGTTTTGACGTTTATTGGATATAGACTAGCAGACACTCTAACAGAAAAGCCAAATAATTTATTTATATGTTTTTTGTTTTTGTTTTGTCTGTTTCCTTACAGGATCGATTTCTTTGAAAATTAATCTTTTGAATTATTTGTAACTTCATGGTGATTGACTTATTGACATTTGACTTCTTCACCTTATAAAATTAAAACTTAATTTGTAATTGATTTGTCGATCAAAACTTAATTTGTCCATCTTTTATTTTAGTTGCTTTCCAATCATATAATTGATCTTTAAACAAAAGAATTGATTAGTTATTTGACTAACTCGATTTTGAAATTAAATATCACTTACTGCGAAAGAAATGCACACCACAGGACGATTTACGAAATCTGTTCAGATCTGAAAACAGCTCAACCTAAAAATAAATAAAATAAAACAAATTTTAAAAGTTTCCTTGAATGTATTCCCCCCTTTATCCCTTGAATGACAACTACTTTATTCTCAATTATTAAACGTAGCTTTCAACATCAAATGACAACAAAGTTATGCAGCCAAATTTATTGCACGCAATAAGATAAAGTTGTTAATCTACTCATTTTGTTTTGCAAATTTGCAAGCACTTTGTTTTCGCAAAACCTGTAAAAGTTATGAAATTAAGCAATGCAGATTATTAATCTTTTCAACAAAACAGTGCATGATGACTAATTTCAATAATTGACTTAGATTTGTCTCATTAAAATTAAATCATCACGTTTCTAATTTATATAGTCTGCAAATAAAAGACCAATTTAAAATTTCTATTAAGGTAAAAACGGTTTTAATAATCAACTGAGATTTCATATTCTGCTATAAATTAGAAATCTTTTCTCAAGTTAAATTTACATCAATGCATATAATAATGATAATAAGTTTAAATCTGGAAGGGAAATCAAAGTGTAACTCCCAGACTGACTTCAGGGCACCACGCACCACCGTGCAGATATCGGCCTGAAGTCCAAACCGGACGGGAGCACAAATTTTAACGCCCGTGCCCTTATGGTATATTCCGATGGCTGGCTGTCAGAATGACAAACTGTGTACCCAACAGCTATATTTATAGCAGAAGCTATTTTTTGTCAATAAATATCCTTAGTTCTTATAAATCCCCAAGTTTGATATTAAGAACTATGGAAACAACGGAAATTATTAATCCAAGAATTGCATTTTACAATTAATCAATCATAGATGTTTCCCCCTAGTTAATAAATATTCCCCCAGGACAAAGTAAATATTAGATTAGTTCTATACTTAGATTATAGATTATATTTAGACCTTGACAATCAGATTCAGCTCGCCTCGAATTCCATGCATCGTGTCAAATATTGGAACCCACCCTGACATCATAGATCCACCTGGACAATATAAATAAAAAATATGAAATTTATACAATAAACATTAAACAATGTACAATATAAAAAGTAAAAAATCAGAGATAACAAAAAAACTACAACTAAAACTTCAACTAAAATTACAACTACAAATACAACTACAACCACAGCTTAAAACTAAAACAACTACGGCTATAACCAAGTCTAAAACTAGAAATGCAATTACAACCATTGAAAAATTCATTAATAAAAATGAACCTGGAAGAGTAGAGACTGCAAGTTTATCACTAACATTAGCTGTACGCTGGCTGCAGGATGTTGATGAAGGAAGAAGGAGAGGGTTCAGATCTATGTACACCTATAGTACACGAATATATCATTTAAAGGGATTGTAGGCGTAGAGAATTTTTATTCATAGAGTGGCATGTCCGATTCATGTTATCCATTATCTGCTCTTTAAAAATTAATCATTTTCAATTTTGGTTTTTTAAAGAAAATTCGCATTTAGGGTTAGAATAATGGTGGAAATTGTCAGGGTTAAAACACAAATTAAAACTAGAAAGAAAGAAAAAACAAGATATCGTTCATATTATTGACCAGATAAGGGTACCGTTGTAAATCGAGCATGCTCCTCTTAAGATTTACGGTCGCTTGAGATTTAAAAACGATCTAAAGCTTGAGATTACAACGACAGTTTATTTAACTGATGATAAGAAAGAGAATAGTATACAATCTTAAAATTCAATATTATTTGTAATAACAATAATTTATACAATTGTTGTTATTATTTTTAAAAATCAACCTAATGGCAAAGTAGTATGGCCTGTAGTTCCTGTAGGTTATTAACAATTCAGATTAAACCATATCTCTCTCACCTTACCCACAGCATCATTGGCGGAGTAGGCGTCGTAGTCCATTATTCGGACCTGGAGGGGTTCATCCTGCAATTCTAGGTCGTCCGACTCAAACCTTTTTTATTTGCTCTTTTTATTATTTATTCATTTATTTATTCAATCATTCATTCTTTCATTCAATCATATTCATTCATTCATCCTTTCATTTATTCATCCTATCATTTATTCTAAACAATTAATGTAATAAATGCAGTTTGAACATACTTATATAAATTGCGTTGTACATTGTTTGTAAATTAAACTGCGCTAATCCTTAAATATGCAAAAACTTGTAATGCGACTAGAATAGCTACATATTGTGATAAGCTTAGGATGAAATATATCTGCGTAATATTATAAATATGTATAAGAACTTAACATGTAACATATAGATATTAGTAAATTCATCAGTTGATATAGAGACTACGCTTTGATTACAGTGTTGAGAATAATTTGGTACTCGTTGAAACATACAAGCTGAGATTGTGCCTTGAGATTTGGCATTGATCAATTAAGAGCTTGTTTGATAGCTACGCTTGTTTCCAAAATGACATTCAGAGCTGATAAGATTAAGATTGTGTCCATTGGTTTGACATTGATCACTAAAGAGTGTGTATCCTGGTTGACATTTATAGCTGACGGTTTTTACCTGAACTGATACAGTTCTGAACAAAGTTTTGAGATTACGGCATTTACTGCATTAATACATTCATCCATATGCTATATGCATTCAATAATTCTACTTCTCCAGTCATTAATGATTTTTTAAAGAAAGTATCTATTCCTAAAACTTACCTAAACCATTCAGAGTTCCAAGCTGGGTTTAAAGATTTTCTGAATACGTCCGTCTTGTACGTAACCTCTCCTAGTCTTATCTAAAATAAATTTAGGATTTCAAAAAGATATTAAAACACTATCATTAACCCCATAACCCCCAGGCTTCCCTACCCCTCCCCTCAACCCTTCATACATAACATAGGATATCGTTGGAAATGTGAAATGTGACCGCAGCGCCCGGCCCCCTAGCCTGTCCTAATCATGGCGTTCGGCCC